GTCAATGCCCCTCATTATCTTGTATATCATCTTCCCTGCTTGTTGTTTCCTCCAATGAGGTGAGGTTGAGTTATCTCAGTCTCTCTTGAGTCCTTAAGTCCTTGAATAAGTCTTGTCGCATATTTCTGAGTTTTCTCTAGTTTTACACACAGAAATCACACTAACGTGATGCATCAAATGAACAAATCCACAAGGGCCGTGACGAGGATTCGAACGTGCGTCCGGAAGCATCCCAGACACTGCCTTAATCGACTGAGCTACGACATGGTAAAAGAGTTGAAACCGAAGTTCTACTGAACTTACTGGATCCCGCGGCCTCTCCGAGGCACAAACCAGGGTTTTACACAACCCCCCCCCCCATGCACTCGAGCTGTCAATAGGCCGTTCTCCCTCTTCGCCCTTACATCATTACACATATAATGATGTAAGTTTAGTATTATCATATTAAATCTTATAGCACAATTTTTTTTAAGTGATAAAGTTTTAAAAATATTTTTACAAAATTATACATGTATTCAACCTCATCTTTTAATTGTTAATACTGCACTCAGCATCGTTCATACGTGAAGAATTTCCTTCGGATGTATTGCGCACGATGTTATTGTAGCGGTTGTGCGCGCATATTGAAGTCTGCACCCCGATAGTTCTCCGAAGATTATTGGCTGTACACCGGGTTTTAATTAAGGTAATTGTTCATTACGATAATGACTGTGATTGGGAGGGGCTCTCGCTGTGGCTGGCTGACCACTTATGAAGGGTAATTGTAGTGTTCGCCTCCACCATAAACTCACCTCCTACTGCTCTTCTCTGAACTCACTCCTGCTGATGCTGCTCAGTAAACTATCCTACTGTTCGGTAAATTCACTTCCAACTCCTTTATGCTGTTCAGGAAACCAACCTTTAGTAAGTTGGTAAACTCACCTCTTGTTCTCAATTCAAAGCAAATGAAAAGGGAAAAAATAATAGCAAATATATTATTAAAACACGTCGTGTTGCAGTCCCCGTGGCGTAGTGGTAAGATGCTCACCTGGCATTTCGCGAGCGCTTTGTCCTGGGTTCGTATCCTGGTCGGGGAGGATTTACTGGGCGCCAATATTTAACTAACCTCTGTTTACCCAACAGTAAAATGGGTACCTGGTTGTTAAACGATTTGGCGGGTCGTATTCCGGGGAACATAGGATTAAGGACCTGCCCGAAACGCTACGCTTCCTATAGTGGATGTACAATAATATACCTGGTTTTAAGTCTTGTATATAAATAAAACAAAGCATAAAAAAATATCGCCATGCTGTGGTCTTATTATCATGTTGTGGTCTTATTGTTATGTTGTGGTCTTATTATCATGTTGTGGTCTTATTGTTATGTTGTGGTCTTATTATCATGTTGTGGTCTTATTGTTATGTTGTGGTCTTATTGTTATGTTGTGGTCTTATTGTTATGTTGTGGTCTTATTGTTATGTTGTGGTCTTATTGTTATGTTGTGGTCTTATTGTCATGTTGTGGTCTTATTGTTATGTTGTGGTCTTATTGTTATGTTGTGGTCTTATTGTCATGTTGTGGTCTTATTGTTATGTTGTGGTCTTATTGTCATGTTGTGATCTTATTGTCATGTTGTTTTATTGTCCAGCCCATCCTCCAAATATGTGGAGGTAAATTACAGCACAATAAGTGCAATTATGTACTATTCCTAACAGTCAGGAATTGTACTTATTTTCCAACCCATCCTCCGAATAGACAGTAGACTTTAATACTAAATGTAATAAGTACATTTCCTGACTGTCATGCATAGTACAAAATCGCACTTATGGGGCCGTTATATTTACCTCCCCATTTATTCTCCTCGTTTTCTGTTAAAACACTCAGTGGTTAGGATGAAGTTTTTACGTTTAATTTGCTGTTTTCAAGTTTTAAATATCAGGAATTTCGTTTTCAGTTTTATTAAACAATAGAGATTTTATACAAAATTTGAAAATATTCTGAGTTACTTTACATTTTATTGAAACATTTTAGTTTTGTTTTATTATTTTTATAAAACTGTAATATCATTATAGCTGTAGGTTAAGTACTAATTTTAATTAAGAAGCAATAAAATGCTTATCTTCACATACTAAGAAGGATTTCATGTACTCACCTATTTGCGCTTGGGGGGGTTGAGCTATGGCTCTTTGGTCCCGCCTCTCAACTGTCAATCAACTGGTGTACAGGTTCCTGAGCCTATTGGGCTCTATCCCACATCTATCTATGATATGGTCTCCATCTCATGTTGGCCTCCGAATGCATGATAGAGCTGATAAGTTAGCAAAGAATCTGCCTTTAAAGGAGACGTTGAGTGTAACCTTGGATTGTCAATGAGCAATCTAAGAGCAGCAGTACACCAAGAACTTCAACAAGACCTTGTAGATCTGAGGCAAAGTGAAATCGACACCTGTAATTCCATCTATCATACTATCATGCAAGAAGAGCCACACATCTATGGATCATCCAATAAAATCAGCAGACTTTTTGATGTTACTACTGCTCGGCTTAGACTCGGTTTCAAGTATCTCTGGGAATTCTCATTATCTGCTGATGTAGACCTGACCAAATGTAAACTGTCGACAAAATTATTCGCACACCCTCCGTCACTGTGTTGGAGTGTGAAAAGATACGGGAATTCAGAGACAATTCTATAACCAATGTTCCAGCAATGTATAAATATTTCATTCAAAATGATCTGCTACCAGAAATTTTAGCCAAATGTCCCCAGTTTGCTAACTGTAGGTAGTAACTAAGAGTGATTGTAACCTATCCACCGCTGCCCACTGGATGGGGGGCGGTGTGCAGGACAAACATATCAATTGTGACACTAGCTCTACACATATGTCAGTTGCTTAAATTAATTTACAAACTGTACTTGTGGTCGATCTCAAACCCATTTATGATATGACGACTTATACTGAATTTTGTAACTAGCTCATCAAGATTGTAACTTAGCTAAATGAACTGTGGGGTTCAGTCTCTGAGCCCATTATGTGCCGCTGTAACCCTTTCCACTACCACCCACAAGATGGGTATGGGGTGCATAATAAATGAACTAAACTAAACTAACTAAGAAGGTTAAGTTAGGTCGTGGTTTTCTATTCAGCTTTTGAGGTAAACTCAAATATTCACAATATATTTGACAGTACGGTTTAATACTAAGTGAAAATAAGTACAATTCCTGACTCTTAGGAATAGTACATAATTGCACTGTTACGTTTACCTCCCCATTTTTGGAGGATGGGCTGGAGCATTATGTATTAGAGTGTCAATTTATTGATAACCATAGAAATAAGGAAATACGTAGTGTACCACATCAAATTGTTTGGATGTTTGATAATGGTATGATAGACAGTATACTTAGGAGCTACGAGAATTTTGCCCCAAGAGTGTAACACTTATATGCTGTCCTTACTATATTAACCTGCAATGTTAAATGGAATTCTTGTACATTTTTATGGGATTTTACTTACATGGGATTCTTGATTCTTGTATTGTGATTTATATATTTGTACTCACTGAATTTTGTGCGCCCCTTGAGGGACTTGGAGTAGAGGGGGGTAGAAATTGCCTAAGCTACTCTGTCCCTTTGAGATGTATTTTTTTCTTGTCTCAATAAACATACTTGAACTTGACACAATAAACAAAGATTAAATTAATACACAATAATAACAATACACTATAATGAACAAGGATTACTAGGTACATTAGGATAAAATTTCAGGGTTAATATACAGTGATTCACTGTAGCACAATTTGAGGATCATTTCAAGGAGTAATGCAGTAGAATATGCACTCAATATAACAACCATGATATCAGATGATACCAAAGATGACAATGGTAAAGATATATGGCTTAGGTACATATATTGGGGGATTGAGTAGCATTAGATACAGTGCGAGTTAAAGCACTAGGTAGGAAACTATGAAGATTAAATTAAGTACTTTTCGGTTTTATTTTTGAATAAGGCAAAAGTTGGACAGCTTTTCAATTCATTAGGGAGCGAGTTCCATAGACTATAGGTCCCCTTATTTGCATAGAGTGTTTACACCAATTAAGTTTGACTCTGGGGATCTCAAAGAGATATTTATGTCTGGTGTGGTGATTATGTGATCTATTACAACTGTCCAGGAAGAGTTTCAGAACAGGGTTTGCACTTAAGAAAAGGGTTTTGTAAATGTAATTGACACAAGAGAATGTAAGGAGTGAATTTATGATTAGGGATGTAAACAGGGGAGCTGTGTGTTGTCTAACAGCAGAGTTTATTGTCCTGAGAGCAGATTTTTGCTGGGTGATGATGGGCTTGTGGTAGTTTGCAGAGGTTGAACCCCATGCACAGATACCATAAGTAAGATAAGGATAGATAAGTGCATAATATAGTGAGAGGAGAGCAGAGTAAGGTACATAATATCTGATTTTAGAGAGTATACCAACTGTTTTAGAGATTTTCTTAGTTATGTGTTGTATATGAGTGCTGAAGTTGAGTTTCTTGTCTAAGTAAAGGCCAAGGAACTTTCCATAATTTGTATTGCTGATGTTAACATAATTTATCTGAAGCTTAATTGCATTTATTGGTTTGCTTCCAAATAAGATGTAGTAGGTCTTTTTTATGTTTAGTGTGAGTTGGTTGACATCCATAAGTGGACTTTTTTTAATTCATCATTTATGACATTATTTAATATGTGCGGATTGGGGTCTTGATGATCTGGGGTCTTGGGGTAGATGAGGGTAGTATCATCAGCAAACAATATAGGTTTAAGCACGTTAGAGTAGTGCTAATCGCTGGCTCCGTCATGCAGTGAAAGTCATATACTGAGTGTAATCGCTGGCTTCGTCATGTACTAAGTCATATACTGAGTGTAATCGCTGGCTCCGTCATGCAGTGAGAGTCATATACTGGGTGTAATCGCTGGCTTCGTCATACACAGAGTGTGGTCGCTGACTGAGTCGTGCGCTGAGTGAGGTCGCTACCCACGCTGCTTTGTTTTGGCCTTGGTTTGAACGTGGGCGGCAGAGGTGGCACAGCTGACTGCTTAGTGGCCCAGGTGCTGCAGCTAGTTCTCTCGGGTCCTTAACCTGAACCTCTACGAAGCATAGACACGATTTAACGTGGTAAAAAAGCGTTGACAACAGCTGTGTGTCGTCGAGGTTAAACGAGAAAACCTGTCGTGTTACCTGAGGTGTTTCTCAAGACAGAACTCTTCCGCACAACCATGAGACTAAGGAACTTGATGCATAATTTGCTCCTTTTGACGCTAGTTAGGTGCAGGTGTTGGGCTGTGGAAGAGACGTGTGGCGACGATGACAGGAAGATGACCAACATGTACAGTGAAGGTATGACATAGACAAATATCAGGTTTTATTTATTTTTTATTTATTTATTTATGTACAAGAGTTTTTAGATTCTTGTACAGCCACTAGCACGTATAGTGTTTCGGGGCAAAGGTCAAGTACAGTAGCTCCTTCCCGAACTTGCCACTAACTTGAAGGGGGAGTGAGGATGGGTGGGGGGGGTAGAGTTAAGTCACACACAGGCCTTAGGCCTGGTTGGGGTACGTTAGGTTGGGTAAACTGTTGGTAAACTCTTGTGTGCAATGGTGTATAACTTTTATCCGTATGTTTAAAGGAAACTGGTAATTACATACAAAGACTATCTGCTAATGGATTATGAACTTACACAACATAACATAACAATGTGTTATATATAGGATTTTAATTTAAAAATGAGCTTTGTCAAAATGCCTGTTTACAATTACTCATTACCCCAACTGAAAATATTTATTATAGGCTGACCTAACAGTATTTAACCTAACAATGCATTTACTAAACCAAGAATATCAGTCTAATGTGCTCTGTGTATTAGTGGCTTTATATATTGTATTTTTCTTTCCTATGAATTCTCCACAATTCATGTAGTAATAATAATAATAATAATACTGTAATAAATAAATAAAGCAAGCTTAAATCAAGCATAATTTTAATTAATAATTCTTGTAGTTTTTGATAGATGGCCAAAAATTAACTGCTCAGGGCATTTTAAGAAGTAAATCTAACTTGAGAAGTGTTATTGTAGTTATTCTCCTCATGTCTGAAATAAATGATTATAGGCTAATATTGCTATACATACATAGTAGATACAGATATAGATATATAAATATCTATATATATCTATATATATATATATATATATATATATATATATATATATATATATATATATTTATATATCTATATATACATACATACATACAGTATTTGGAAAAATCATTTGATTGTTGAATTAATTAACAAGAATAAGTTGCATTTAATTATTTTTAGAAAAGTAAAGTAGTATTTCCTTATTTCAGAAGCCAATAAACCTTGGGCAAAATACACCACTCAGATTGAGGAAGCGGTAGCATCATACAAGTCTTGTGACCCAGGGAAGTGTTCCTGTCACTATCACCTCATTAAGAAAGACTTGGCACCTTTCAAGGATGGCATTGACAAAAGTGTGATAGAGAAATCAAGAGACAGGCAAGTTATATATACTGTTCAGTACTGTACTATATTTGGTGCTAAGGCCTAATGTCATGTTGAAAACTATTATTTTAGAAAGCTGTGTTAATTTATCTTTTGGATATAGGTACAGTACTGTATTGTTTTTCAATTCCACCTCGCCCTACCCAACAAGGGGCCTCGTAGCCTGGTGGATAGCGCGCAGGACTCGTACTTCTGTGGCGCGGGTTCGATTCCCGCACGAGGCAGAAACAAATGGGCAAAAGTTTCTTTCACCCTGAATGCCCCTGTTACCTAGCAGTAAATAGGTACCTGGGAGTTAGTCAGCTGTCACGGGCTGCTTCCTGGGGGTGGAGGCCTGGTCGAGGACCGGGCTGCGGGGACACTAAAGCCCCGAAATCATCTCAAGATAACCTCAAGATAACCACCTGCTACATGAAATTTAAGATGAGTTTGTTTTCCAGATGCCTTTTTTGATAATCTGAATGCACTTTATATTTTGATTACTGTCAGGGGCAACATCTTTTATTTTACCTTATAATTTGTTTATTATTTTGAATTAATTTTGTTAGGGACTTTGGACATAGATATACACATGCACTTAAGGCCTTTATTGAGGTCTCTCCTAGGTCAAACTACTGACTTGCCAGGATGCAACCTCACAACAGTTACCTAACTCCCAGACACCTATTTACTGCTAGGTGAAAGGAAATGTGCCCAACTGTTTCTGTTCCGCCCAGGAATCGAACCCGGGATCCCCGATTGCGAGTTGAGAACAAAGCCAACTGTACTACATCATATATTTCCTCAGTAGGAATACTGTATAGTTTGCACTGAATAAGTTTAGTTTTCTGAACTTGGACATTCAGTTGATCTGTGGACCTTGGGTAAGTATGCCTCAGGAATAGGCAGGATACTTGTAAAGTCGGGCAAGATGATGATGATGTCAATGGAGCCACAGTTCAACCTTTCCTGTAGAGTCATTAAATAAATACTGCAGTCACAAAGGGTATTCATGCTTCTTAATAACTTATTCTAAATGCATCACTCTCTTACAGTTATTAATACTCTATGATATACTGTACTGTACTGTACTGCACTGCACTGCACTGCACTGTACTGTACTGTTACAGCTGCCCCATGTGGGCAATGGGGACCAACCCTAACCAGACTTATGTGACAGTCCTTGCTCTAGTATGTGCAGTATATATCTATATAAGATAAAATATCTGTCATGTACAGTACAGTATTAATGCTGTACTTTGGAACTATACAAAACATAGGCTTCCTTTTGTCTGCATTTAACAAAGGAATTATTTGATTATTATTTTTTTTATTAATTTATATTTCTTGTCATGTAGAAAGACTATACTGTATACTAATATTTTTTTCACTGGCATAATGCATTTTGCTCTACTGGACATTATGCTAAACATGATTGAATGCTACTCACTGTGTTTTTGCTAAAACTTTTCCACTGTAAGTATTTTAATGTTATTCTTTTTAACCAGGGGTACCTTTTATCAGATCATCAACCATAAGCTGTACAGACAAAGTGACTGCATGTTCCCAAGCCGATGTAAGGGTATTGAGCATTTTATCTTAAAGGTATGGTGATTGCTCTTAATTTCCCTTAAATGGAAAGTTTTCTTGTAAAATATTTATACATGATCTGTACACTGCTTGAATTTTACATATGTTGACTCAAAATATATTCATTAGAGTACTACAGTAATGAATGTTGGTTGATAACCAATTGCCCTCATGAACAAATCCACAATGGCCGTGACGAGGATTCGAACCTGTGCCCGAGAGCATCCCAGACACTGCCTTAATCGACTGAGCTACAACATGATCAAAAGGAGTTGAAACCGAAGTTATACTGAACTTGCTGGATCCTGCAGCCTCTCAGAGGCACAATTGTGATTTCTGTGTGTAATGAAGTAAGGGTGAAGAGGGAGAACGGCCTATTAACATAGCTCGAGTGCATGGGGGGAGTTGTGTAAAACCCTGGTTTGTGCCTCGGAGAGGCTGCAGGATCCAGTAAGTTCAGTAGAACTTCGGTTTCAACTCCTTTTGACCATGTCGTAGCGCAGTCGATTAAGGCAGTGTCTGGGATGCTCTCGGACGCAGGTTCGAATCCTCGTCACGGCCCTTGTGGATTTGTTCATTTGATGCATCACGCAATTGTGATTTCTGTGTGTAATTGCCCTCATCTACCACCCTATTAATAAACCAATATCCTTTCTAAAGCTGAACTTGTCTAGCGTATAGCCATTGAAGAAACAATGTTGTAGTGCTTGAATGAAGGTAAAGGAAAGACCCAATACACGTGTAAGTGTATTAAATCACAATTTTCAGATGCAAGCTGAATCTGAAGGTATTTATCAAGGACATAGGTTGCATCCTAAATTTGGTTTTAATACACTTAAACATGTATTGTCTTTAATCTTTTATTACAGCCAGTGTTATGAGTTATGACTTGGTCTGATACTTTCAAATCCTTGAGCATATCTATCAACAAGGTAGACATGAGTAAGCTCTTGAAACTACTAGACCAGATCAAAACCCATAACAATGGCTTTAAGATGGAAAAAAATCAGATTTAGAGTGGTTATGGGAAAGTATTGATAGGGCCTCAGGGTGATAGACGAATAAGTTTCCGGCCAGCATCATACCGGCAAATGGCATAGTTAGCTTTAAAAACAGACTTTAGATACACAGAGAAAAGAAGTTAGATCTAGATTGGCACCACCCACAATGGATCAACAGACCCACTGCAAAGACTCCTATGTTTTTATTCTAAGATGCATTGTTTATATAGCACTAGATGGGGTACCTGGCAGTGCCTATATCAACCCTTGAAGGTTGTGGCATGGGGGCAATAGGGCCAACCCTGACCTGTCTATGATAGTCCTTGCTCATGTATATACAGTATATAGTATTTATCTATATCTATGAGATGGAATATTTTTGTTTGAGGATGGTGGCCAGATGCTTGGGGCTAGTCTTGCCAAACTTTGCAAGGTTATATTTGTGGTTGAGGAGTATCATAGGGTGGATGGGGTCGACCCCCATGCCCTTCTTTAGTAGGATTGATTTCTATTGTGATAACAAACGAGACTTATAAAGTCTGAAATGTGGGTTTGATTGTCCATTGTGTGTTTTCAGACTTATTTCTCAGCTGTTATCAACATTGAATCAATGTCAATAACATTGTTTCTATGTTGGTATAACATTACTAGAGCATGTTTTACCCACTGGGAGAGAAAACTGAGCATTAAAAGTGGATAGAGAATAGGAGAATTAGAGAGACAGAGACCTGGGCACTGTCAGGTATCCCTTCTAGTTAGTATATATATATTTTCTTAATACATTTTGGTATTAACACATTTAGATACTTCTGCATTTGTGCAGCTGCACTAGAGTTATATGAAGGGGGACAAAGTTCTTTAAAAATGATGAAAGTCTAGCTACTCGACCTTTCAGCTTTACCGAGTACATTGCATTCTCCATGGGAGCCAATCCCCCCTTTTAAAGGGGCAATGGAGCCGAGTCCAACGTACCTATGTCAGCCATCCCCACTTCCTGCCTCACTAGTTGCTCTGCAATGTTGGACGAGAGTAGCCCAGAGCATCTAGTGTCCAACCTTGAACAGAGATCATATTTTATAAGTATAGATGTGGTTGGGTAAATATTATGTATAGAAGATAAATTTTCTGCAAATTTCTGGCATTTCTGGCAAAAAAAATTATGAACAGTTTTGAAAACCTTGGTACCATGGAGATCTTGAAAATTTAGAACAGGTCAGGTTGCCTATTTTTCATTCTGTTGAAGTTAAACTGTACAGTACTTTGTAAGTAACAAAATCACAGTTAATATTTTACAATAACTTTTAACGGGTTTTCCATTTTCAGATCATTGATAAGTTACCAGATATGGAGATGTTAATTAACACAAGAGATGTACCCCAGGTCAATAAACGTTTTGGTGAAAGGAAGCCTATATTTTCTTTCAGTAAGGTAATGCAAAGATTCATCTTTCATAATATTTTCCACACCAAACATGAAGTAGAATCAGCAGCATCTATACAGTATATCACATCTATACAGTATCTAAATAAAAAATATATCTTTTCATGGGTATACTGTATAATCATAATATCTCCGAGATTTCTTATTGCATAGTTATAGCTAACTAGCTAGTTCTATATGTATGTTTGCTCTGGCTCTTTGGTCCCGCCTTTCAACAGTCAGTCAACTGATGTACAGGCTCCTGAACCTAATGGACTCTATCATATGGAACTGTGTATGGAGTCTGCCTCCACCATATCACCTCCTAAAACATTCCATTAGTCAGCTACTCTGACATTAAAAAAAAAAAATTCCAACATGTCTGTCTCATTTGGGCACTCAGTTTCGTCCTGTGTCCCCTAGTGTTTGCCGCTTGTGTTAAATAGTGTCTTTATCTATCCTTTCAATTCCTTTGAAAATCTTGTGTATGTGTGTTTAAAAGTTGTATACTTCAAACCTTGTGGTTTAAGCAAGTCAGTGCAAGGAAGCAAGGGCTCCAGATTTCCATTAAATGAAAATTAGTTAGATTTCAATTAAACTTTTTTGACTAGTTGCATATGAAAAGGGGTTCATCTGGTCGAAGTCTCAGCATCGTAGCATAAATAGGAAGGTAGAAAAAAATATTGAAGTTGGTGTCAAAATTATTCCAAAATGGTCAAAAATGATTATCAAAGATGTTCTTGATAATTATTCCTAAATTGCACAACACAATCAGGAATGTTTCATAGCACCGTGTAAAATTAAAAGTCCCACTGTGTAAATGGGGTAACCAGACGCTGTCTATGGGCAATAGTAAACAACCGTCATCTTAACAAAAAATCCTGAGTAGGCTGAATTAGCAGGAAGGCCTCCGTATCAAACTACCATGGCTATTGCATAACCCTGCACTGCCCAACGTCTCACTGTTGCTCACTCCATAGGTATGATTATGGATGAAGAAATTCAGAAGATACTGATGGAAACAGATGATACCTGGTTGATACCTGGTTGATGGGGTTCTGGGAGTTCTTCTACTCCCCAAGCCCGGCCCGAGGCCAGGCTTGACTTGTGAGAGTTTGGTCCACCAGGCTGTTGCTTGGAGCGGCCCGCAGGCCCACATACCCACCACAGCCCGGTTGGTCCGGCACTCCTTGGAGGAATAAATCTAGTTTCCTCTTGAAAATGTCCACGGTTGTTCCGGCAATATTTCTTATGCTTGCTGGGAGGACGTTGAACAACCGCGGACCTCTGATGTTTATACAGTGTTCTCTGATTGTGCCTATGGCACCTCTGCTCTTCACTGGTTCTATTCTACATTTTCTTTCATGTCGTTCACTCCAGTACGTTGTTATTTTACTGTGTAGATTTGGTACTTGGCCCTCCAGTATCTTCCAGGTGTATATTGTAACGGTTCTTGGTTACGTAAAGTATGGTGACAAATAAACACAGACACTAAGATACTATATATATATTTGGTCGAATATACAGAAGTACACAGGTGATACGTTGGTGTGAGTTGAGCGCACTGAGCGTTGGTACAGTATCTTGCAAGTGTCTGCTCTAGACCACACTTGAAAGTAGACTAGCCAATGTTCGCTACACCGCTGCTTATATGCTCGGGCAACACCTCACCGTGTTGCCCAGGCAACGCCTCACCTCATTCATCTCCAAAGGTTGACAGGAATATTAACAATGCATTTGGAGCGAGTATATTATTGGGATAATCTACTCGCTACAATATTATTTGATATCTCTCTCGTCTTCTTTCTAGTGAGTACATTTGGAGGGCTTTGAGACGATCCCAATAATTTAGGTGCTTTATTGCGTCTATGCGTGCCGTATATGTTCTCTGTATTCCCTCTATTTCGGCAATCTCTCCTGCTCTGAAGGGGGAAGTGAGTACTGAGCAGTACTCAAGATGGGACAACACAAGTGACTTGAAGAGTACAACCATTGTGATGGGATCCCTGGATTTGAAAGTTCTCGTAATCCATCCTATCATTTTTCTGGCTGTCGCAATATTTGCTTGGTTATGCTCCTTAAACGTTAGGTCGTCAGACATTATTATTCCCAAATCCTTTACATGCATGAGGAATTACATTAATTTTACATTACATTAAATTTACATTACATGAGGAATGTGACTTTGATTAAGATTATGTTCAGGGTTCAGAATGAAGTGATACAGACTGAAGTCAAGGCATATGTGTCTGCCCCCAGGCTGAGGCCTGTACAATCACCACTCCCTCCGCAGCCCCACTCCACTGTGAGGCAGGCCATGTGGGTCGGTGCAAGATGCTGTTTCTTTAGGCCATGAACATGTGAAAGATGAATCATTTTCTGGATTTAGTGACCAGGAATCTGATTGTGGTTTTTAGCTGTGCTGTGACTAGTGGTAACAATGTAAATTGCATTATCAGGTGCAGTCTGCTGCATTAGCTGCTCGCCCAGCCAAATGCTGTCGTGTGATGTCACATTGAGAACTTGTGGGATGAATGCCCTCATCTTCAAAGGTCTGTTTATGCCTGCTGTGTGCTTAGTAGATGGGCTTCATTTTCTAGCCAATATAGTTTTGTTGGTGCTAGCATACATTGCTGTAGTGCTGAGATACATGGCTGTTACTGGAGCCTCCACCAGAATTGCAGGTGTACTCATGCTGGGGAGATGGTGCACATTTTGTTCCACAGATCCCTACATCTGACAACACAGATATTGGTTAAAGGCATTTTACTATTTAATGGCGAGGACAGGAGTGAAATGGAGTATTTTACATTATACTTTGATAAGCTGCTTATAGAATATATTGTTCAGGAAACCATGCCACGACCTGTTTATTCCCATTATTTCCCCTTTCATTTTTATGGTTTACTGACATTTCCTCTATTTACTCAAAAATGATGAACTAGAATTCATTTGAATTACCTGAAGATTCAAGTTACCGGGATTCAGATTACTGAGTTCTTACAATAATTTTAATTATTTGTGTTTGAACTCTTTAATTTTAGAATTTAATTGCTGTGGTTCAAATTTTTTTGTTTGAGAATTGTGACCTGTATGCTATTTTTCTTCTATAGACTGCCGACTATTTGGACATCAGTTATCCAGCTTGGACATTCTGGGAAGGTGGACCAGCAATTTCCCTTTATCCTACGGGCCTTGGTAGATGGGACATGCTGCGAAACACACTTATGAATGTAGCCAAACAGTGGCCTTGGGAAAATAAGAAACCTCTAGCATTTTTCAGGTAGTAATGTTTCCTTTTGTTCTCGAGATTTGTTTTCCTGTATGTTTCATATTTTAGGATTATTATCAAACTTAAATTTCACATGGGAGAATGACTGAGAGCCACAACCATTGTACTAAACTGTACTACCACCTTCACCTCTCTTGGTATTGTTCTTGCTTTATAAACTTATATACTGTATCTTAAATCAAATGATTTAATTATGTTCAAATGGCTAGGAGGGGTTTTGTTACTATTGTTCAGCATCTGTGAAGGTAAACATTTGGCCAGGTGTGAGGGAGGAAGGGTGGGAGGAGTCCTTTGAGAGCCCCTCCAACACCAACATCGCCATCACCTATCATGGTTTAGCTATTGGAACATTTTATTTTCCATAACATTAACTGAGGATGATTAACAAGCCACATGATTTAAGTATGATGTAAGTCATACAACTGACCAATCATATGCAAGATGTTAGATATTAATCAGTTAGAGCACTTGGCATATTCTGAGATACAAATTTTGTTGGAATATCATATTACATAGAGAGGGAAGCTGTATAGTAAAATATTATATTCCAGCAAGTCAGCATCACCTACCAATAGCATGCCACCTTTGACAACCAGACTCTTTTAGTTTAGCTAATAAATTGTGGTCCAATGCTTGACCTGTTGCCTGCCTTTTCCCCCTCCCCCTCCCTTCCCCATTCCCCCCTATCCCCCATTTCCCCCTCCCCCCTCCGCCTTCTCCCCCCTTTTCTCTCCCCTGCCCTTCCCCTCCCCAATCTGAAACTGTGTTCTGAGAACTTTAATTCCCTTGCATCACATTTTACATCCAGCCTAATACTTAGCATAGAGGTTTACCCAAGGTGGTACCGCAGCATCTGACACCACTGTTCGTGTCACTATGCGCAATCCTCCCATCAACCATCCTAACGTCTTCTTTCAATGCGGTGATCTCCAAATTTGGTTGTTTTGTGATCATCTAATTCCATATAAGGAAATTATCTCAAGTATAGTTCTGGTCTGAATATGCTGATAACCTCAAAAGTGAAGTTAAATTAGTGTTCAGTTCTAATTCATTCATTCCGGTTAGCCAGCACATAAACTATGTATGCAGGTGATGAAGACGGACGTTATTGAGTATTAAAATTAATTGGCTGAGGTGGATAATTTGCTCTTTCTGCTTGCAGAGGGTCTCGTACAAGTTCAGAGAGAGATGAACTCGTGTATCTTTCAAGAGAGAACCCGAACATTGTTGATGCCCAGTACACCAAGAACCAAGCCTGGAAATCAGATGCTGTATGTATCCCATTCTTTCTGTGGGTAGTCACATTGGCTCCCAGAAGCTAGCATACTGATTAAGTACCACACTATTTAGCCATCAGTCGCAGAGCTCTTGTATGCCTACCAGGGACCACGAGCCAGACCCTGGCCCCTCCCCCCTCATAGAGGCACAGGGAACACTGGCCCATGAACACTTTACATTTCAAAGTTTGTCATCTTACACTTTACATTTCAATGTTTGTCATCTTGCTATCAACCAGGAAAGGCACCCAGGAAGGTAGGCGAATCCAAACAGACTACTGCCTGGTTGAAAAATGCGACCTACATCCTCATATTATCAAAGTAACTCCCCCATAAAGAAAACAAACAACCAAAACTTCATCCAAACTACCCCCCTCCTTGTTAACTCCACCTCCCCCCTCGGTGGTGGGAAGGGAAGCTGGCCCGGGTGAGCCAAGCTGCCCCCAGCCAGTTCTTGATTGATGTTTATGCCTAGTGGTCATCAGTTCACTCTGGCCAGAGTTTCCTGTTTTTGGGGTGTTTTGCTTTGTGAGGCTGTTCCTACATGAAAGTGTGCATTGGCCAGGAATTTAGAATAATGGAGCTGCATGTGCTTAAGGTCACCTCCCCTAGGTGCTCTGTAAGTGCTGCCCTTGCGCAGTCAGGGTTTCCTTTCCTGGGGAGTTCGGGAATCACTTACGTTAGAGGGCTTCCTCACTTGTGGTGGTCTTCGTCCTTGGGGTGGGTTGAGGGCTTTAGACTTTCCATCTTGGCCTGGGTAAGGGAGTGTTGTTGGCTGGCATGTTTGCTGTCGTGAGGTCTCGAGGGGTTTTTATTTTCACCCTTTCATTTGCTGGTGCTTTGTTCATTTATTTAGGCAGGGGAGTTCTGCCTTTCACCTAATTAGGTTAGCCTAGGGTTTGTGCGGTAGAATTCCTCATTTGCACCCGAGTCTTTCCTGCAGTTTCTTGTGGTCTAGTTGCCTGCTCTGACAGGGTTTACCAGCATAGCTGGTCCCAGTGCCTGGGCTTTCTGTAGGACTTGTTCACCCTACAGGCCCTGAAAAACCCTTACGGGCTCAGTTGTACAATGGATATTTCTTCTGAGCCCACTCTCACCTTGTATGCGAATTTGAGGGTTGTTTGTCGCCCTTGCCTCAGGGTGACAATCGTCTGTTCTGCCTCCGCCATGCTGCTTGATGGGTCGGTGGTTGGGCAGTCATGTGAGACTTGTTCTCTGCATGTGCTCCAAACCACCCATTCCTCATCGGATATTCGAAGGTATCGGAAAGATGTTGCGTTGCATGGGCTTTCTTATGTGTTACAATATGCCAGGTTGTGTTCTGGTTTTTGTGTCCTGTGGTTTGCAGGGACTCGGATTTCGGAGTGTTTGTTTCATTGACCGTGGTTCCGTCCACACCCCCTCTTCCTTCCCAGGTGGGTGTGGTTCATCCTTTTCCTTCCCCGTTAACAGCTCCAAAGCGTCTGAAAGTTTCTAAGCCATGGTGGAGTTTAGCGTGGGGTGAGGCATGGGTGGCTATGAGGGTTGTCACTACACACAGAGATCACACTAACGTGATGCATCAAATGAACAAATCCTCGTCACGGCCCTTGTGGATTTTGTTCATTTGATGTTTCTGGACTGGTTTCCAGTCCAGAAACGGGACTGTGTGGATCTCCTGTACATTCTGGATTTGTCTCATCTGAACCGGTTGATTCCTTGCCCCTCTTTTCGGATGACTCCATTCTCCGAGGTCTGACTCTTTCTTGAGCTGGGTGCTTGTATGCTTTCTCTGGATCTCAAGGATCTCGCTAGGTTCGGTTTCCTGGTGAATTGGAGGAAGACCCAGTTGGTTTTGTTCCAGGTTCGAATCAGTTGGGTCTTGTTTGGGATTTTCAGACTGCATCACTTTCACTCCCCCGTGCGGCCTTGCTCCAGCTGCAGTCCCGTTATTATACGCTGCTGAGGGGATCCCAGGTGACTAAGAGATTGCTCGAGCAGCTGTGCGGGAGCTTGAACTTTGCCCTTCTGGTTTGGGCTGTTTTGGCATCTTTGGTACAGCCTCTTTCTCCGCTCTCGCAATCGCTGGGTCCTTCCCCTGCCCCCCAGTGTCTCTGCACCGGTTGCTGTGTCACTGGCTTGCTCTTCTGGTTTTTCGGGGTTTGGTGCCATAGCACTGGACTGTGGGAAAGAGGTACAGTACCCCCACCAATCCATTCCTTGGATTCTGACACTGCTTGCTCGGTGTCCAAACCCGGGTATTTTTCTACAGCTCTACCTTTATCAGCAGGTCGTACGGGTGAGGTACCTCACTGGTTCGACTTTCTATTCTGCATTCCGCATCTGGACTTTCCGATGCATGTTTATCTCCATTTGTATGGTAATCAGGTGGCTGGGTTGATGGTGTTCCATCTGTAGTCTTCTTCTCACTGACAGTATGAAGTTTCTTGGTGGGCTATTCACCATTTTTTCTCTCTCCATCATGTTCTGTGTCCAACAGGGCTGTATTGTCCTTTCTTTCTTGACTTTTTCTGGATCGGCACCTTATGCTGAATATTGTACTGTTACTTCTTATCGTCATTGGCAGAGGAACTTTGCCTTTCGTTCGGGGTGGATGACCCATTCTGCAAGCTTTCTTGTGCATTTTTTCACCTCCGGCCTGCTCATGCGTCCCCTGAGCCTGCTTGGTTTGCGTTCTTTCATTTCTTTTTTTCCCCTCGGTTTGTGGAAAAGCCCCTTCGGTCTGGGATTGTTTCTGGAAGGCCTTGTTTTTGTTGGTGTTAGCCTCTGGTGGTTGGGTTGAGAAGCTTCATGCACTTCTCTGACCCCCTGGAGTTTTGTTCTTTTGGTCCTTGTGGTCATTTTGTTTGGTTGCAGCCTACTCCTCCTTTTCTGGCGAAGAATGAGATGGCAGGCTTCCGGAGGAGTCCTTTGGTTGTGGAGTGTTGGCTAGTTCAGCCAGGGAAGCATAAAGTGTTATGTCCAGTGCCGGCCTTGTGCCGCTGCTTGTGGGCCACTGGTTCTGTTTTGGTGGACGAGTTGTGGGTTGATCCGGTTATGAGAGGATATGAGAGGGAGTAGGTAACCAGGCACCACTAGAGGAGTTTGGGATTACTGGGGGGGGGGGGGGAGATAAAGAAGCTTTTGCTAGAGTTGGATTTCTCTCGATTTACATTTAAAGTGTTACTGGCCAATATATTCTGATGACTATTTACTTCAGGAAGATATCATTATAGAAATGCTCGAGGTTGAGATTACTAATGTGTTCATACATAACGATGCTGGAGTTTGATACGTTGTAAAAAGGCCAGGATAGATACAGCAAAATGCAGAAGTGCCATAAACTTTAGGTTAAATTAAAAAAATAGCCGTAATTAATCTATATTCTCATAGCAAATACTATATAGGAAATGTTATTGACAAATGTTGAGGCCTCTCAGTTTTTGCAGTGGGATGCCTCTGTTAGCATGCAGAAAAAGCCAGGTTTATGTCAAATTATAAGTAAAACATATAATCAAAGTTAAAACCAGCAAGGCAATAGTTGAATACCAGGTAAATATAGTAAATTATCTTTTAAAAGAAAGTAATTGTGGATTATATTATGAAGAGCATTTTGTAGGAGAGGATAGGTGTGACCTGATTTAATAAAAACAGTGACGAGTAGGGTATTTATTGTTGAAGTGTGTGTAGTGCAACTAGCCCATATGTAATTTAACATGCAAATAAAACCAAGGGCAACTTTATATCAGATAAACCACATTTATATTTGTTAAGGAACTACAGATAATTGTATACAAAGTTTAAAGTATTTGTAGTTAATTGTGATGAACATGATATACTTTGAGTAAATACTGCAATTTCTGGGTGAGCCCCGACAGCTTCCTAAAGCTATCCAAACTGATATGTGCTATATTAGTTTGGGGTCATCAGTTACAGGAGTTCTTATGCCTACTGGGAACCAGAGCCAGAACCTGGTCCCCACAGAGAGGCACAGGGAGCAATGGCGTATGAGCACTTTACATTTAAATTATGTCATATTCTGCCATCGACTGGGGTGGGCACCCAGAAAGATAGGTGAACCAAAACAAACAACTAGCAAGTAAAATTGCAACCTACAGTCAGAAAAAGAGCAAAGAAACTCCTGCTGAAAGAAAAGAATAAGAGCCCTGGAAATTCCCCGTGGGCTCGGTTGGTAACATGGATCCATCCGAGTTCACTCTCATCTTGTGTGAAGTCGAAGGTTGTTCGTTGCCCCTGCCTCGGTGAAACGAGCATTCGTACTGCCTCTGTCTCGCTGCCTGTTGGGTCGGGGACACCACCAACTCGGCGTATTGCGGGCCTTGTTCCCCGCTTGTACTTCACTTTACTCATTCCTTGTCTATTGATCTCAATGCTCAGACAACGGCTGCGTTGCTTGCTCAGTTCTTCTTACTGCAACGATCCTGGTTGGTTGCCCAGTTGGAGGGCCCAGAACTGCCCCGCTTGGGTTTTGGGGACTAGGATTTGGGGGTGGTAATCATTTCAACTTTGGTTCCTTCCATGCCCCTACTTCCTTCCCAGGTGGGCGTGGTTCACCCTGCTGGGAAGGAACCACAACCGCGGTCTCTTCTTCGCTCTGAGCCCTGTGGTGCTGCCACCTCCCAGGGTATGGGGACCCTGTTTTCCTTATCTGTGGGTAGTTAGCTTCAGGGAGCCAACAGGGCTCCTTCAGAAAACCAATGATGAATGTAATAAAATGCCAATTTCTGGGCAAAGCCCCAGAGGCTCCCTGACACCCTCCCTTCCTCCAGTTGGCTTTTTTTTGTTTTTTTACATCATGCCTAGAACTGAGCTCGCCTGAGCCGGTTCCCCCTCCCACTTTTTGGGGTGGGGTGGGATACGCCAACAGGCGGGAGTAGTAGTTGAGGGCAGGGTTGCTAGTTTATTTTCTTGCTCTTTTTCTTTCAGCAGGAGTTTCTTTGCATTTTCTGGCTGTAGGTCACAATTTTACCGGCTAGTTGTTTATTTTCGTTCGCCTATCTTGCTGGGTGCCCAACCCAGTCGATGATGGAATATGACATACTTTAAATGTAAAGTGCTTATGTATCATTGCTCTCTGCCCCTCTCTGAGGGGACCAGGTTCTGGCTCTGGTTCCCGGTAGGCATAGGAACTCCTGTGACTGATGACCCCAAACTCATATAGCACATATCAGTTTGGATAGCTTCAGGGAGCCTCCGGGGCTTCGCCGAGAAAATGGCATTTCATTACATTCAACACTGATTTTTTTGTTTAATTTCAGGACACTTTGTATGCTCCCCCTGCCTCTGAAGTATCACTTGAAGACCATTGTCAATATAAGTATCTCTTCAACTTCAGGGGAGTAGCAGCCAGCTTCAGGTTCAAACACTTGTTCCTATGTCAATCTCTTGTTTTTCATGTGGGTGATGAGTGGATGGAATTTTTTTACCACAAGATGAAGCCTTGGGTACACTACATTCCTGTTAAGACAGGCGCATCAAAGGAAGAAATCAGGTATGATTTTAATTTTTGTCAATTTATTACAGTACTTCCCTCTTTCTCTAGTACTTTGCTAAGCCCCTTCCCCACAAAAGTTGTAAATGGGGTACAGTAATGATAGTAATGTATTTATATTGTGTCCTGATGAGATGATGATCTACGTGCACTACCCTTACCCAACATTGAATTTTTTGGGCCTTCAAGTATCATTAATCGAACAGCAAAGTGAAAAGCAAATTACATATGGTAATGAGACTAAAGTTTTGATAAAGGAGATTTTAGAGAAGATTGTTGATTGTAAATGGAGATGAACATTAATGGATGTGGTCCAAACTGTGTGACATCAGGGAACACGTATGACAAGTATGGAATTAAGGCAAGCAAAGTTCAAACAATATCAAGTCAGGGAAGAAACGTGTCTGCAACTATTAAAGCCATTGTTATAAAAAATAATATGGAAAGTAATCCAACCATAGAGCACACTTTTGTACAGATGTAAAATGTGGGTTTGTCATAAGCATAAAAATTCCTAGGTTAGAGCAGTAGAGGCCATCAATTAAGCATGTGTGATGCAATAAGGAATGGTAATGTCATGGCATGTGAAAGTTGGACACATTTTAAGATTAAGAGGCATGTGGAAGGCAGGCAAGTTGAAAGAAAAAAGGATATTGTGTGTGCTTTTGGTAGCTTAAAGTTTAGGAGGATAAAATTATAGATATGAATAATTGTGAGACAGCATGGATTGAGTGTGATCAACTCAGGAGTAGGAGTAGTAGTATTAATTAATGGATTAATACCAGGATTAATGGAATGTAGTTTGTTGGAAGGAAGTGAATTATTAATATATTGTCTTTGAGAACTTATGAGAAGCACTTTACATAGAGTAGTTTATGAATAAGCTTGACTACTGCTGTGTGTAATTTACTGGAGTGCCATTATGCTGGTTCACCATGATGGTACCAGGTGCAAAAAATAATGTGAATGGACATGTTACCTTTAATATTGAATTTATCTTTATCCCTCTTTTACTATATTTACTCTTCTCTCTTTACTAGTTACATGTTTCATTGTCCCACTAGACTGATGATGGTTTAGTTTTTCCATGCAATCAATTTAGCAAAATTTTTATATTTTTTTATGTCATTCATCTTGTTTCTGCTAAGCCAGTCGATTATATATATACAAACAATTTAGATGAGGATTGAGCAGCAGTATTTGCAGACGATACTAAAATAAAATGGGGAATAAATTCAGAGGAAATCTCAAGATTGCTTCAAGATGATCTGAAAGATGCAGTTTAATTCTAAATAATATAAGGTTCTGAGGCTAGGTAATAATGATAGTTATACTATATTAATTGGATAGTGTTGAAATTAAGGTTTGAATAAAAAAATTGGTAGTCATGATTAGTAGGGATCTATAGACAAGAAATACATAAAAAATATTGATAAGAACATAAGAATTAAGGAAACCACACACAAGGCATGTTGGCCCATTTGTGAGAGCTCCTATTTATATCTATTTAAACTCATCCACTGTATATGTCTAACCTACACTTGAAACAATCAAGTGATCCTACGTCTATTACGTTACCTAGTAATATGTTCCACAAATCAACCCTGTTCCCAAACCAGTATTTACCTAGACCTTTCCTACTGCTATATGTACTGCTATACATACTTCATATTTTCTGTTTATGTTCCTTGTTTTTTTTTTAACATTTCTAGCAATTCTGACACATTGTTACCCTAGATTGACTTCCCCCTCATTCTTAGTCCTTTTGTAGAAAGCTTTATTTTTTACTTATTAGGTTCTTTAGACCCATTGTTGTCCATTTGGGGTTGTCATTATCGATCTAATCAATTTATAAGGTATGCTACATTCCCAGGTTTTGCTAAGAATATTTTTAATCAAGGTATATTTTGAATCAACATCCCAATTCCTTGCTACTTGAAAACTGATGTATTATCTCTGTTCAGTAGATATGATTTGCATAATGTGTTTATTAATCATTGATGAACATTTTATATTTCAGTACACTGATTGAGTTTGCTAAGAAAAATGATGAGGCTGTATCTCAAATAGCAGAGAGGGGCTATCAGTTCATCCGAAATCATCTGAGAATGAAGGATGTCTTGTGCTATTGGAAGAAGCTGCTTCTCACATATGCTGAGTTACTTAAATATAAACCACAGAAAGAAGAGGGATTAATTACTATTGTGCCAGTGAGTTAATGTTTATGAGAATGATGAAGTGTTAGAAACAAGATCATTGTTTGCGCTGTTATGTTTGTGCGTGCGACTTAGCCTCTGCCTGCTAGCTACTGGTACCTGGTGCTTTTATAATTCAAATGTTATTGTTGTCCGCCGTACCTGCTCTTAAAACTGTGAATGGAGATGGCTTTCACAGCTTCTCCCAAGTGCATTCCACTTGTATATCTCTGGCTCATTTATATTTCTAACCTGCACCAGTGTTTTCTTATCATATTATTCCTCGCTTAGGAAGTGAGGAATAATAGAATAGGATAAGTGAGATAATAGATAATATCTATTATAATATCTATCCAGGTTCAGATAATAGGAGTGCCATTGCTTACCTTTTTTATTGATCTTGGTATTTTATTAGGTTGAATTCTTTTAATCTGTATTCATAGCTTATGGGCTTTCTTAATCCCCTTGAGCATCACAAGATGAAGATTCTATGTCAGTGTGCTGCACATTCTGGAACTGGTTTGACTTGGTATGTACCGGTTGTGCTTATGGGGTTTGATATCCACCTCTTTTGTTTTACCTCTCAACTCTAAATTGTCTCGTGTACAGGTTCATGAGCCCTTTGGCCTTTTCATATATCTGATGTTTTGTATCGAATTTTCTTCCAATATTTTATTGATGCTTTTGATAATTACTTCCTTCCAGTATTTCACTTTTTAATGCATTCCAATTTTTAAAACTATTCTGATTACAGAAAGGGATTCTGACATGTGAGTTGTTAGTGCACTACCTCACATGCCAATCACTCTGGTTTTTAGTGAGTAGAGCATAATAATGTACTCACCTAGTTGTACTCCTAGTTGTACTTGCAGAGGTTGAGCTCTGGCTCTTTGGTTCCACCTCTCAACTGTCAATCAACTGGTGTACTGCTTTCTGAGCCTACTGGGCTCTATCATATCTACATTTAAAATTGTGTATGGAGTCATACACAATTATATGTATGTCATAAATTGTGTGTTCTAATGGAAGATGGTAGCATTTTTTAACATGGTTAGAAAGCGCTGTTCTTTTTCTCATTATGAATTTAGCTTTTAGACTAAATGTTGATCCTTTGAGGGTTGGCCTAAGTAAGTGTGATTCAACCAAAGGGGTTTAGTTTATTTATAACTAGATTTTAAAGAAACAAAATAACTGACAACTTTTCTGGTATTTGTAATTCTGAAAAGTGTGTGCACACACTTGTGAAGAATTTTGTTATCTCGCTAAACACACTCCGTGGCACTGCAGGAACTACCATATATGCTGGCAAGTAAGACATCTAATTTACAACGATGTTTTGTGAGAAATACACATTAGTGTGCTTCATTATACATTTATTGAAAGTGATTTTGTAAGGAAAAATATGAGATATTGTGCATGTAAATACAATACTGTGTATATATTGGTTAAAGGAGGACAAAATATCCGTCCTATGTTCCGTTAAATATGGTATTACAAAAGAGTTATCATGTAAATTGGTATTTTAATTATATTTAATAATTTGGTAAGGGGTCACTTTGTAAATGCTTTGACAAAACTTATTCTAAATTGCTTCGAATTTGGTGTAGGGCATGTATTTTTGTAAATATATGCTATGTAGTATTAATTACAGGTTCAGTAATCTCTAGTACTTTAATAGTTGATGGATCTTGTGGTACAGTTTATTGTAAAGTGAAAATCATAGATGGGTACTTGATAACTTTTTTTTTTTAACAAGGCCTTATTCAAATTACTTAAAAAAATTGTAAGTGTGTTAGGACCGTTAAAAGTAGTACATTGCTTTAAATCAATGTAGCCACTTGATTGTGGAGTTTTTTACATATCCAATGTATACAGTACAGTATGGGCAGTACAGTATATACAGTCATGTATAGCATTTTGTATACTTATGACAAGGGGGGGTTTTAAGCATGATGTAATGCTGGTAAGTGATATTGGTCTAATTCATCTATAATTCTGTAATTTGTTTAATATGCAAGAGTTCTATAATAGTTTTTTTTTTTAGGGGGATGAAACCACAAGTGAAAAATACAAATAAATGCTGTATATGTAATAGTGTTTTTTGGAGTGAACATTTGTAAGGTAATTGTGATGTTGATCAAAGTGGTTCTATGTACAATGCACCTTCCTAAATCTGGATCTTCCAATAATAGATCCCTCTATACAACTAAATCTGCCCCACCAAATTTCACGTAATGAAAGGTTTTCTGGATAACAAAAATCCGGATTTTGGAGGTGGATACTGAAAAGCCACTCACACTCACACTCTCTCACACTCTATTACAATGCACTTATTAGTATGATTAACTTCATATATGCAGCTCATTCAAATTCAAATTCTTGATAAAAATGAGTTCCCTGTTGGGTTATTTGTTGGGTTATTTGTTGACCTACGTAAGGCTTTTGGCACTGTCAACCACCAAAACCTTCTTAAATTACATCGTTATGGAGTCAGAGGTCACTCCCTGCAATACCTTAAGTCTTACCTTACTGACAGGCTCCAGTATGTTTTTGTGAATAATTCAATTTCTCCCACCCTTACCATCAACATTAGTGTTCCACAGGGCAGCATACTTGGCCCTCTCTTCTTATCTACATTAATGACCTTCCAAATGCCTCTCAACACCTCAACCAATTTTATTTGCTGATGACACAACCTTCATTTTCTCCAGTCCTGACCCTCTTACTCTGAATGATACCGTGAATACTGAACTAAATAAAGTCCACCTTTCGCTGCTAACAAATTCGCCCTTAACATTGACAAAACCTTTTATATATTTTGTTTGCTAATAAATCCTGAGATCATATTAATATAAGAATAAACAATATCCTATATTTTCAATATCCAAATATTTCTTGCTCGAAACGCTATGCGTACTAGTGGCTTTAGGTATTGTATGTACTACCTCTATCTTTAAATCTAACAATGTTTGTACTGTAACACTGCAACTATGTATGTACTGTTCCTAAATAAATTATTATTATTATTATTTATTATATCCAAATTAGTAACAATGTAGATGGCCTTGGTGTCCTCATCGATAACTAGCTGAATTTCCAGGGACACATTCTAAATATAGCAAAAAAGTTTCTAAAACTGTTGGCATTCTTTCTAAAATCAGATATTATGTACCTCGCCCTGCCCTGGTGACGCTCTATTACTCTCTCATCTATCCTTATCTCAATTATGGTATTTGTGCTTGGGGATTCTACTAGCCAAAATCATTTACGTCCTCTAATTACTCAACACAAAGTCCTGGATACAGCAGTATCGTAGACGGGCTTGGAGCAGAGCAGAGAGCTTAGTGTGGCCAGAGTCGTGGAGCTCTATGTGGTAGAGTGTTGTAACTCGATGTGGTCCTGCTCTGCTGCTGAACAGTCTGTTGCCTGTTCTGTGTCGAAGCTGTAGCGTCTTGAAGACGATTAGAACTACCAACGCCGAGTGCTACATTCTTGACTGGAAATTGTACTGTTGTCTATTCTCATATTGCTTCCTTATATTTGGTGACTACCCCTCACCTTTCTCTTCTAGGATAGGAGGATGTGAGAATTGTTACCTGTAATTAGGGATAGGATTATAGCTTGTGTAGTTAGTGCTAATTAGTTACGCTATTAAGATAATGAGATAATGGAGCGAGTATAAGATTACTCCCTACAGGACTACCCCTGCCAGGGAACGGAAGAAAAGCAGTACAACAAAAAATACGAGGCTACTGTTCCCTGGGTCGCTGTGGAACATGTAGTCTGGTATTAAAAAATGCAGGCAGTGTGTGGACAAGCTCGGTGTAGCAGGAGAGAAGAATGTGCATGATTGTTGCGTCCTTGGGTCGCTGGTGGAGCATTTAGATCCGAGGCGGATGGGCTCGGGCACCAGGACAATAGGAGGTAATGTAGGCACATGGGCAGGACAATGAGGGAATCACTGCTAGAGCTGAATTGTGCTGGAGGCAACGAAGAGTCGGAAATGCAAGCTGTAAGCCCTGTATTGCGCAAGGTGCTTGAGTCGGCAGAGTATCAGAATGCAGTGAACGTGTAGATGAATCTGATGACAGAGCAGCTGTCGTGGGAGTCCCTGTAGAACAAGCAGTGCCCTGGCAGCGACGGAGAGTCTGCAGGACAGGCTGTAGATCCTACGTGATGTAATCATTGATGAGGCTGTCAGATGAGTGAATAACGATCGTCGAGCAGCAAGCCGTAGCAGATGAAAATGCAGAGATGATCACGATGAAAATCATAGCTGTTGCGAGGGTGTTGGCAGTGTTCCATGAAAGGTGGCTGCGGTGCACAGCAAGCAGCAGCAGTAGAGGTCCAGTGAGTCCATGTTGTAGTCCATCGTGGCTGGGTATTGTCGAAACTCTCTGGGGTCACCAATGTAATGTACGATTATGTTACGTTGTTGGGTAGATTAAATACACAGTGTTTAGTGAGTTTCATATTTATTTAGTAGTCCTGGATACAGCAGTGTCGTAGACGTTGAGACGGAGCTTGGAGCAGAGCTGAGTGTGGCCGGAGTCGCGGAGCTCTATGTAGGAGAGCGTTGTAGCTGGATGCGGTCCTAGTCTGCTGCCTGTTCTGTGTCAAAGCTGTAGCGTCTTGTAGACGATTAGAACTGCCTACGCCGAGTGTTACATTCTTGACTGGAAATTGTACTGGTTTGCTATTCTCAAATCGCTTGCTTATATACGGTGACTACACCTCACAATAAGATAGGAGGGTGGAAAAACCGTTACCTGTAGATAGGGATAGGGTTATAGCTTGTGTAGTTAGTGCTAATTAGTTATGCCATTAAGATGATGAGATAATGGAGCGAGTATAAGGTTTACTCTTGGGCGGGGGTGGCCGCCGGGAGTGGAGCACTGGGAGGGGGTGGCCGCTGGGAGGGGGTGGCCGCCGGGAGTGGAGTGCTGGGAGGGGGTGGCCGCTGGGAGAGGAGCGCTAAGAGCGGGTGGCCGCCTGGAGTGGAGCGCTGGGAGAGGGTGGCCGCCGGGAGTGGAGCGCTGGGAAGGGGTGGCCGCCAGGAGTGGAGCGCTGGGAGGGGGTGGCCGCCGGGAGTGGAGCGCTGGGAAGGGGTGGAGCGCTGGGAGGGGGGTGGCCGCCGGGAGTGGAGAGCTGGGCGGGGGTGGCCGCCGGGAGTGGAGCGCTGGGAGAGGGTGGCCGCTGGGAGGGGTGGCCGCCAAGAGTGGAGCGCTGGGATGGGGGTGGCCGCCGGGAGTGGAGCACTGGGAGGGGGTGGCCGCTGGGAGGGGTGGCCGCCGGGAGTGGAGCGCTGGGAGGGGGTGGCCGCCGGGAGTGGAGCACTGGGCGGGGGTGGCTGCCGGGAGTGGAGCACTGGGCGGGGGTGGCCGCCGGGAGTGAAGCGCTGGGAGGGGGTGGCCGCCGGGAGTGAAGCGCTGGGAGGGGGTGGCCGCCGGGAGTGGTGCGCTGGGAGAGGGTGGCCGCCGGAAGAGGAGCGCTGGGAGAGGGTGGCCGCCGGGAGTGGAGCGCTGGGAGAGGGTGGCCGCCGGGAGTGGAGCACTGGGAGGGGGTGGCCGCTGGGAGGGGTGGCCGCCGGGAGTGGAGCACTGGGCGGGGGTGGCCGCCGGGAGTGGAGCGCTGGGAGGGGGTGGCCGCCGGGAGTGGAGCGCTGGGAGGGGGTGGCCGCCGGGAGTGGAGCGCTGGGAGGGGGTGGCCGCCGGGAGTGGAGCGCTGGGAGAGGGTGGCCGCCGGGAGTGGAGCGCTGGGAGGGGGTGGCCGCCGGGAGTGGAGCGCTGGGAGAGGGTGGCCGCTGGGAGGGGGTGGCCGCCGGGAGAGGAGCGCTGGGAGGGGGTGGCCGCCGGGAGAGGAGCGCTGGGAGGGGGTGGCCGCCGGGAGTGGTGCGCTGGGAAGGGGTCTCGTGGTGGCGGCGCTGCAACACGCACCAGTCAACACAACACAGGGATACGGGGCAGGATGGCGTGCTTCGGGGAAGATCTTTTTGACTTCGTGGAGGAGGAGGGCGTGCAGCGGGTGGAGGCCCTGCCAGACATCGAGCTGGTGGACGAGGAGGAGAATGAGAAGTGGGTCTGGGAACACCTGTAGCTGTGTATTGTGCACCTGTCCTCCCCCCCCCCTCATCGACGTTACTTGTCTTACTAACATTATTTCCAGATTGTTCTAAGTCTTTTAGCAAAGTTTTTGGGTGACACTTGCACGAGACTTGAACTAGTAAAACAACGTTAAAATATTTGTGGCTGGGGCATTTAGGTGACTGGTACCGGGTTCCCAAATACCTACGGCCTGGACCCCAATGGCAGTGTGTTGTGACAATCCATGATGGTGGGGAAAATTCAGGCTATGGTAGACCACTTAAAAATGACAGGTGTTTCACCGCTGCACTACAAGAGGTGTGACCTTCGGGACAGGAGCGAGCTTGTTCGGGATATCTACATCTTGGTGTGGTGGGTTTGTTCTGAACCATAATGAAATCTAACCCAAGTAGTAATTGGGTCGACCCATGTGTTGCGTTTCCATGATGGTCGCCCAAGTTAAAATCGGCGAATGCTGATTTTAACGTTCAAAATTAACCCATAGATATGAAGTTCCTATTCCGCAGTGGTAAAACAGTGACCTAACCTAACCCAACTTTAAAAAACTTTGGATTTATGGTTTAATAAGTTATCGAGATGTTTTCAACAATATTCTTGGGGCTTTCACCGATTTTAACTTGAACGACCATTGTGGAAACGCGGCACATGGGTTAACCCAATTGACAATCTGGTCAGATTCTAACAAGGGTTCGACCAGGTTCACCAGCATACAAGCCACATTGTACGCAATATGACTTAGGAATCTATTTTAATACCTCCCTAACTTTACCCAACCTAACCCAACGGAGCCTAACACAGCCTTGCATATACACAGCTAATACTTCTTAACCTCATGATTTGGTTTTGACAGTTGGGGAAAAAAATGAGCTTCGTAACAGTATTTTGTGTAACATTTGACCAAACTCCGATCAAGAAGGGCCTCACAGTGTCTGTTATTATGTGTTTGAAAGAAGCTTATCTTATCCTAGTTCAAATAAGATATCTTTATTACACTATATCAGAACTTTTATATTTTTTAATGTACAGTACTTTAACAGGAAAAGAGGATGTTGGACTTCAACTAATATTTATTATTCAATTGGTTTTAAGCATATACAGTATAGCCAGAATTGGTTCCTTGTGCAAGTGTTTCAGACATTAATGAATGTGGAAAGTGCCATGTTTTGGCAACATTCAGTTGCCAAAAATTTTCTGAAGATTTTGATTTTGGCATCATCCCCTTAAATTATCCACATAAATATTGCTGTGATTGTTTATACCCTTCAGTTAACAGACTCGAATCACATTCATTCTTATGGTTAACCTTCAAAAACATCCAATTCTTATGGAAACTTTGTTTAAAAATGTAACATAAGAGCCTCCAGCCTAAGTTCCAACATTGTAACCTAATTAGAAGAAAAAAAATTAATAAAAATTCACCTAAAATGGCACCTTTAAATTTTTTTCATAGATTATAGAATCTTTAACAAATTTTAAAAATACCGAATATAACCGACAATACTTTTTAATCTTTTGACAACAGCTATGGCATACCAGGGCAGTCTACTAGGGGTAGACACAGCCCATCCACGCATTCTTGAAACTAAATGGCAGAATAGGTAGATAATTCATAAATCTGCAAAATAAAGATAATTGAGATTTATCTGATTGTATTGATTTGATATTAAGTACAGTATATGTTTTTTTTATAATAACCTCAACCTTCATGCTTTACAGAGCAGCTGAGGAACTCAACCAGTTATTAGGAAAGAGAATTGCTGAAGATGACAAGAAGATTAAGGGAGTATCCAAGAAGCGTCGCTCTCAAGTGGAGACAACACAGTCTGAGCTTAGGTTGGTTTTTTAAGAAGGGAGAGTTCTGCCCTCTGTCAACTGGACTTATAATCTAAGTCTTCCTTTGAGATTACTGCAGTTTTTCTTACTTTTGCTGTTTTAATGTACTTTAGTAAGTCAAAATACAGCACAATATTATCACTAAAAATATATTTCTTTGCTATTAAATAATGGTAGGGTTTACCAAAACTTATGAAATGTGCATCTGATACACGACTGTGCTGTACAGTATATGCTAAATGTCTCGCTTTATATTGGGTGAAATATATATACACTACTATAATAGATTTTTCATGTGTATAAGCGGTTGTGTGAAGATATACTTCTTAGGAAAGAATAATTCCATTAAAATATTAATTTGTTTTTAATCTATATTATAACATAGTTGGACAATTAACCAAATAGTACTGTTCAGTACAATAGAATGTTACAACGGAGCGCAGAGTATATGCTACACACAAAGAACCATCAAACAGGTTAAACACCCGACTCTCAGACGTAAATTATTCCATATGCTCTCCAAAATGCGTAGCAATAGTTTGATATGGAAAACGGAACAAGATTATAGCTCTGCCAATATGCCAGTAATATTACTGATGAGTAATATCTACAAACCTTTTGTATTAGTAATAATAAATAATGGCTTGAAATGTTTCATAGTCTGCCTTGATATATATATTAGGGAGCAGGTAAGGAAATACATAAACCTGCTAGATACTTTGCTAAGATTATTGAATGCATCAATAAAAATAATAATATCCAGAGTACAAGGTAATCTAGCCAACTTACTAACACTCACTTTATGCAACAAATTGTAAAAAGAGTAACTTAGTTATGGTGACATTTTTTAAATTTCTGGCCAGCAAACATGATCTTAACTACAGTAATTCCACTACATTCCAGTCAATTGCTCAAGAAGTGGGTATTTCTCTCCTTAACCCCTGCACTGTGCACCTATTTTTGACAAATACTTTATAGTGTAATTGTTAAGGACATATTTTTGTTTTTATAAATGTTCAGGTAAAGTTAATGTCAAAATGTTTCCAAGCTCAACTATTTTCATTTCAAAACAGTGTGATGAAAACGTTAAAAAAACATTAAAATATAGCCTGATTAAAAAAAAAATAGCACAACTCTCAGAATGACAATTGTTGTTTGGTGAAGTGCAGTGGTTAAGGAGGACTTTTGTGTCTTGACATTAGTACTTCCAAACACGACTAGTGGTGGTGCACTGTGTCCACACAACAATCGATTCCATGATACCTCTCGATTGATGGCTCGGCATCCAGTCCTCCATCCTCTTGAGCTGCCATAAGACAGAAAATGGTGTATTAAAATGCTGAACCTAACCTAACCACACAATCCATGCATAGAAAATGTGAATGTGAGCTGCTTTGATTTATTGTACATCATATTTTATCCGTTGTGGATTTTGTCAAAGTGCAGTGCATTATTCGAGAGGACAGATTACAGCATGAATGACAGTCTTCCCATTTCCTTTTTTTTATGACGATTCAACTAATTCAGTGGCTTTTACATGCAGCAGAAAGACTTCTTCACTTTGCACTGATATTCATTTCAACAATTACTACTAAAAACTTACGGAAAAGAATAGCTCTCTTTGTGAGAGCAGGTCTTGGTTCTTTGGGTGAAGTGGGCAGCTTTTGTTACTTGATCTCCTTACTGACTGAAAGTCATGTGACTGGAGCTTCTAGAAGGATATTGAATCCACCATATTGTTGAAGCATTTTTTTGAGGAAATATTAAGAAATTAATAAAGCTCCCTACGGTATGAGGATTGTCTGTCTAGCTCAAGTAAGGAGAAATATGTTCAGGCACCCAAGGCTCTAAGATGAATGTCTTTTAAACTGTATAAATTCCTGACTAGATGGCACATCCTGTTCAGCTGTTCTCGAGTGTTTTCTTCTTGTGTGTGATTTACAACTACAACTTTCTTCTTTTCAGATTAATAGAAGATTTGCCAAGAATAGCTGTACATATTATAGAGACCTTCGAAGCATGTACACATGAAGTGGCTGTACCCCCTGGAGAAATGTATATTCCACTTCAACCTGCCAAAGAAAAACCAGCAAAGTTATATTCATTTATACTGGACCCTTTCCAGAAAGAAGCCATATTATGTATTGATAATAATCAGTCGGTATTGGTTTCCGCTCACACATCGGCTGGTAAAACAGTCGTTGCCGAGTATGCGGTTGCCATGTGTTTACAGAACAAGCAGAGAGTCATATATACAACTCCCATTAAGGCTTTGAGTAATCAGAAATACAGAGATTTTAGCGATGAATTCACTGATGTGGGTCTGTTGACCGGTGATGTGACTATCAATCCAAATGCCTCTTGTCTCATCATGACCACAGAAATTTTACGGTCCATGCTGTATCGAGGCTCCGAGGTGACGAGAGAAGCTGGTTGGGTTATCTTTGACGAGATTCACTACATGAGAGACAAGGAGAGAGGATACGTGTGGGAAGAGACCATTATCCTTCTACCACCAACGGTCAAATTTGTCTTTCTCTCTGCAACTATTCCTAATGCAAGCCAGGTTAGTGGAATGAGTTGGGTTGTGTATTAGAAGTTACTCTTACTGCATTTGTTTTATATGATCTTTATTAGACTAGGATACAGTATGAAGCATACATAATAGTTTATATTATAATTTTAAAACATTGTATGGTATTGTGGATTTCTGCCACAAGCATGACTTGCATGTAAGCTTTTGTTTCATGTGACTCTTTTGTAAACATTGCCTAAGAGTTCATTGCAGTCTTCAATTTTTTTTTTCATTAGTGTAGTCTTTTGTTTAACAATGTTTTGTATGAAGAAGAGGAAAGTGTTGGCAGGGATTGTTTTTATAGTTAAAGAGTACATTGAGATTTAAAAATGGATCTGCAGAATTGTATTTATCATTAAATCATTCTCAAATGGTTAATTTCACCAGATTGTAGGAACAATCTGAGATAATAAAGGTATAGCAATGCTGTAGTCATAAAGTAGCTTTGTGGTATCAATTAGAAAAAGATAGCATTAATATAGTGATAACCAACAAGTATAAGAAACATTGCTTTATCTAATGATTGCTTAGGTCTTATAGAGAAGTTAAACTTTGCAACGACCCTCAAAGAAGTTCCTTTTTTAAATTCCTTTTACTTTATTACTCTTATCTTCTCCGGGTTGGTGCCTACCCACCCCATGAGTGGGAAACGTTCTACAGATAAAGGTTTAAATTAATATTCCTCTGTGAAGCTTCTCTGATATGCATAATTTTGTATTTTTCTGTTTTTAATTATATATCTTGAAGACAGTTTATTAAATTTAAATAGCTAAGCAAAGTATATTTCCAGCTATTGCAGTGTTTTCATAAATATCGTGTATAGTTTAGTCAGATAATGTAATCATTGTGACGTGTTGATTTCAGTTTGCCCAGTGGGTTTGTTACCTTCACCATCAGCCATGCCATGTGGTGTACACAGACTACCGTCCGACTCCTCTCCAACACTATATCTTCCCTGCTGGGGGCGAAGGAATCTATCTCTCTGTTGATGAAACTGGCAAGTTCAGAGAAGATAATTTTAATACAGCAATGACAATTTTGCAAAATGCACCAGAACAGGTATTTATACTGTACTTCTCTAGTTTCAGTGTGCCAATAATGCAGTACTGTATAACAAATTTTGATTAGTATCCACTCAACTTAAGGACTTTATTTTTTTATCTTTCTGCCAGTTCTAACTACAGTACTAAATTTGAGATTGTTAACGAGGCCTTTATTTACCGAGTCAGTGGTCGTTAAATCTGGAATCTGGAATATGGTGTTGGGTTTAGAGTTTGGTGCTTGTTTGAACTGGAGACCACTATTGGGTTTGTTGTGACACCTTTACCCTGGCTACGGCCAATGTTGGTGTGTACTCACCTATTTGTGCTTGCGGGGGTTAAGCTTTGGCTCTTTGGTCCCGCCTCTCAACCATCAATAAACTGGTGTACAGATTCCTGAGCCTACTAGGATGGCAAGTTAGACCCAGGGCAACACAAGCTTGACTGGACTGGAACATTAAACAGATGTCAGTATACTGCAGACAATCTGGTATAAATGTGCCTTGGAACTGAGTCAAGGAAACGTGATCAACAAAGAGGGCAGCCAGTGAAGCAGAGCGGGTGGTGTACAGACAGCTATGACCTGCCACAAGTGCCGCAACAGATGATGCACCCCTAGCCTGAAAAACCACGCATGAACCAAGAGACTCCTTCTAGAACCCCATAAATAATAATAATAATAATAATTTGAATTTCTAATCTAGACAACTCCTAAATAATTATTAACTCTCACACTGACTTGGTAAGGGGAGAGGAAGGAGAATCATATTTTGTTGTGTTGATGCTTACTGCTCGACACAGGACAAGTGGAAACTACACCAAATCTACCCTGTGTATACTGCCAAAAACTGCATAGTTTCACTCTGGCACTCACAGCGGTTCTTTTCCTCACAATTATGTTAAGTACCCATCTGACAATTAGTTTGTCTGGGCAGTAAAACTTTAAATAAAGCTAGGGTGGTGAGTACGATCCTGTTGTCCTGCTGCAGGACAACTAAAAATTAAATGTAAGAGTTTGATGGTTCACTCTTAATTCTCACTTGTTTAGTGTTCATACAGTGTTCAGAAAATAGTGTTCTCTGATTGTGCCATGGGCACAATCAGAGAACACTGTATGAACATCAGAGGTCCACGGTTGTTCAATGCCCTACCAGCGAGCATCAGAAATATTGCAGGAACAACCGTGGACATCTTCAAGAGGAAACTAGATTGTTTCCTTCAAGGAGTGCCGGACCAACCAGGCTGTGGTGGGTATGTGGGCCGCTCCAAGCAACAGCCTGGTGGACCAAACTCTTAACAAGTCAAGTCTGGCCTCGGGCTGGGCTTGGGGAGTAGAAGAACTCCCAGAACCCCATCAACCAGGTATCAACCAGCCAAAGGGACTAGTTTCAAGTGAATCATTTGCATTTGAATGAATCTTTGCAGAGTTGTTGGGCATTTTTAGTGCTTTGTTTTCTGTGAACTTTGCGGCTGTCAGTATTGCTTTGCATAAGTTTTATATGTTTTCTGTGATGTGAATTAGCTATTTGTTCTCAACCTGATCTTGGTTATTAAGCTGAGCAAATTATTGTAAATTAAGTCATTTTAAAGTTATTTTTGTTCTTGTAATTATGAGGAGTATTTTTTAATATATCCACCATGTCTAATAAATTTGATCTTCTCAGGCCCATTTAAAAGGCAAGAAAGGTGGAGTGAAGGATGGTTCCGATTGCTATAAACTTGTGAAGATGATAATGGAGCGCAACTTTGCACCGGTCATCATCTTCAGTTTCTCCAAAAAGGAATGTGAGGCCTATGCTCTCCAGGTGTCCAAGTTGGATTTCAATTTAGCCGAGGAAAAACAGTTGGTGGATGAAGTGTTCAGCAATGCTATTTCGGTCCTTTCTGAGGAGGACAGACAATTACCGCAGGTGGTTTCAGTTCTGCCTCTACTACGACGAGGCATAGGCATTCATCATGGAGGTTGGTAAATGATGGAGTTTGTTCTATAGAGCACTTGGATACCATTTTAAATTATAAATGTAAAGAGCATTTTACATCCATCCATGACCCGCCTGGCAGCAGGCAGCTAACGACTGGACTTGGTGACAGGTGTGGCTGTTGATTGGGGTAACACTTGGGCAGCTTTCAGTGGCCTTACACTGGTTAGAGTGAGAACAGAGTGGTAGCTATAATCTTGGTTTCTTCCTTCTAACTTTTATATAAGGCACTTCATCAGGTTCTCTATGGCAGCACTGCTAGTTTACACACATTTGCTGAACGCATTTCTATATCTCAACTATACACGTGACCTAGATACAATACAATCACAGTGGTACATTTTTTCAGTCCTGATGCTTATGGATGTACCTCATAGTATCTCTTGGGCAGATACTGGATACAGATACTCTTTCGTCATTTTCACGAAAATGATTAAACAGCAGGATTCTGGTCACTTACAGGATATTTAGAATGAATTAGGTTGATGCATGATGCTCTGTTTCCTAATTAGTGGCCAATAACAGAAAAAACACACTTCATGTATTACTAATGTCCTAGGCTGGAATGCTTGACTTGTTTTGCAAGTGGGGCTCTTGTTAGCTTCAACCTATGTCTCTCGGATTTGACAATCGGCTATTGGCTATTCTGCAGCATCTGGGAATAATGGGTCACTACGGACTCGTCTGTGGTGATGTGGGTTGAGACGTCATGAGTATGTCGCCTATCCCCGAGTTGACCATTGAGGATGACTTGACCAAATCTCCTTTGTATTGCTCAAGACAGAATACTCCTTCCAGTAGTCTTCCAAATTGGCTGATGACTGGCATTGGTTTCTAACAATGGAATTTGTGCTCTCTCTATTTCCTCATTGACTAAACACGTGATGGCCGTTGTGGAATCATTATGCTCCTAGCATCCTGGGCTCTCATTGAAGACCAAACAAGCTAGGTTTTAGTCCAGTAATAAGGGAAATAGGCTTCGTGACTGTGCATTGTAAGCACACGAGTGTGAATCTTCCAACTTAAGTGCATGTGTGGATGCTTTGTGGTGTGCCACTTGAAGTCAGCTGTGTGAAAGTGAGACCATTTTACTACAGTCTTAATGAGAGAAGGTCTTTTTCCAATATTTAGGCTTTTTTCTGCTACCCACAAAATTCATTATCAATAATAACAAATGTGCAAATGGTAAGTGTCTGCTAATAATATAAATATTAAGATTGAATGATTGGCAATAGGAGAATGGGTGCATCGCCTTTGTTTATGCCTAGTTTGTTTATTTTTATTTTTTTTACTTCAACCAATACAAGCTGTGATTATATAGAATTTGTTAACAATCCCCTTCTGGTTAAAGAATACGAGTGACAATGTTAACCATAGAGATGTGCCCTACGACCCTGTTGGGTCACCAAGTTTTATTCCCAAAGTTTTGTATCCTGCTTGGGAGTTAGGCCCAGACAGGAAGCTTAACCCAAAAGTTGCAAGTATATCGTACAGTATTTATGGCACCAGTGACTTCTTTACAGTGCCAGAGAAATGTTTACTGTAATCAGTTGGTTTTGTTGGGCAAAAAATCGGATACCTGTCCATTTGTTTAGTAGTTGTGTAATGAAACATGGGAAGAACTGCAATGTACCAATGTACCATAGTAAATGACTGTACCTCTAGTTAATTTGGAACCAGTTATAACAAGACTAAAATTACTAAGAGGAGACAAAAATTTGGAAGAAATAGTTTAAAAAAAAAAATGGCAAACTGCACAATAATTTTTATCGTTAATATAAAACTATAGCCAACTACTATGCATATTCTATAATTGTTGGAGACATTGCTGTGCCAGTCATTATTGTTATTTTTCTTTTACACAGTACTGTAATTACTGCACTTTTCATGCAAATTTTTTTCATGTTCTCAAAACTGATTTGTGGCTAAAAACAGGACTATATATACCTCCATAAGTTAAGACTGTTTTTGGCTTAGAATGATTTAGAGAACAAAAAAAGTAAATATGATGTCCACATAGTTCTATGCATAAATTGTGCTTATTAACAGTACAGTACTGTACAGTACTTGTATGAAGTCTTTTCTAATTAACATTTTCAGGTTTGTTGCCCATTATCAAGGAGACGATAGAGATCTTGTTCGGAGAGGGTTTAGTGAAGGCCCTTTTTGCGACTGAAACATTTGCCATGGGTCTTAATATGCCTGCCAGAACTGTGCTCTTCACTAATGTTCGTAAATTTGATGGACAAGACTTTCGATGGGTAAGTGCTAGAATATATTTTTAATTCTGTATAAATTTTTAAAAGAAAATATAGATGACATTCTATGAACTTGCAAATTCTGCTGTTCAAAAAATTCTGTTTTTTTATTTCAGTGGGTGAAGTGTTTCACAATTTGCTGTTGAGTTGTCCTGTGGTCTACACTTTGTGACAAACACATTGGCCTGTTGTCTACACATTGACACACATGGGTTTATCTTCCTGAGGTTAGGTTATCTTGATTTCAGGGCTTAGCGTCCCTGCAGCCCGGTCCTCAACCAGGCCTCCTTTTTGTTGAACATCCCCAGGCCAGGTACCTATTTACTGCTAGGTGAACAGGTGCATCAGGGGAAAAGAAAACTCCCCCATTTGCTTTTGCCTCCACCGGGGATTGAACTTGGAATCTTAGGACTACGAAACCCAAGCGCTGTCCACTCAGCTGTCAGGCGCCCTTATCCTACACTGTGGCACACATTATCCAGTTGTCTACACTTTATTGTAGCATATATTAGCCTGTATTTGTTTGACTAGTTAAACATAATGGACAGGAATTTGAATCTGCACTAAATATAATCCAGCTATCATAATACAAAATTTAAAATGTTGAGATTAATAGCTTGTCATTAATTTCAGTTGACATCAGGAGAATACATCCAGATGTCTGGGCGTGCAGGTCGACGAGGGAAAGATGACAAAGGTGTCGTTATAATGATGGTGGATGAGAAGCTTAACACCTCAGTTGTGAAGAACTTGGTGCAGGTATGTTTGTGTATTAGTTGTTTACCCTAATACCTGTGACAAGTAGTGCAATCTGTGTCTGGATGTTTCGGAATGCTTTATAACATTACACGTTACTTCTTCATCGGGCTTTAACAACGGTGTTGCGAGGGAGGCGTCACGTGCATCATTAGGGGTAAAATGCATTTTTACGTATCCTCAATGGAAATACTGCGTATGCTTTTGACCTGTTGTTTGGTTTTGTAGTCCTTTTGTCATCATTTTGGAAACTAAATTTTTTTTTATCTAGAAATGTTGTCTGATATCACATTAATTGCATATTACAGGGCACAAGAGGATTTGCAAAGTTTTTTGTTTCAATTACATCCCCATATTTTGTTTTTACAGAATCGGTTATGTAATATTTTTTTCTCCTGGTTCAAGAGCCTCGTCAATAATTGAAGTTCTATAGTATACAGTTGTTCAACTCTGGACACCTTAGATTTATTTTAAAGCTAAGGATATGAACTGAAAGAGAAAATACTGTTCTATAAAATATAAAAAACTGGAATGGATGCTATGTAAGCAATATGAATGGAGATAGTAAAAATGGCAATGTTCAGAGTTAATACAATGTTCAGCAGTAAATACAAATTTCATAGTACAGTACTCTACCAGGGGGACTAGGAGTAGGCCCCTCTTGATGTTGCAGCCTCTTCCACTCGTGTAGCCTTGCTTGCATACACTTAACTGGCTCTGCAAACATTACAGATTCCTCATTTTTCATTTGTTTAGTATATAAAATCTTTTGAGAAATGAAAACTTTTTTTTTTTTACACATTTACCTGTTACACCTTAGGACATGGTATTCCAATCATTGCTATGACTTTGTAAAAATCTGTACTACATGTTGTTTTAATATTAATAGCAAATCTATTCTGTGTAATCTTAAGTTCATCCAGGTCTGTTTTTCACTTAGGGCAATGCTGATCCCATCAACTCTGCATTCCACCTGACGTACAACATGGTGCTGAATTTGTTGCGTGTGGAGCAGATAAACCCGGAATATATCTTGGAGAGATCATTCTTCCAATTCCAAAATTACTCATCCATTCCAGCACTTTGTGACCGTGAGTGCCTGTATTTATGTATTGCAAGGAATACCACTTGTAAAAGTTACCCCACTTGGAACACCAATAACTGTAACTGGCTGAGAAGAGTTTTATTCTTGTCTGTGTATAATGAAAAGTGTATAGCAGACTATAATGATTGGAATAGTACAGGAAATAACCAAGGAATTGGTTGAAGATAAAGTGGGCTCTGTGATGGAGAAGATTGTGCGGACCAGATATATGTATTTACTATGGAGAAGGTGTGCAAGAATATTTGAGGTGTACATGGCCTTCATGAACTTGAAAGATATATATGACAAATTTAGAGAGAAAGACTAGAGTGATGAACAAGTATGCATCAGCAGGTATTAGTTTTGATGTGCTGAAGAGCTTTCATATAGTAAATAATTAAAATTTTAAAGTTGGTGTCATAAGTACATGCCTCTTGGTGAATGCATTCCTCAACAGGCATGTACAAATGGCAAGTTACAAGGAAAGGGGCTGATAAAGATAGAAGGAATGAAGTAAGGTTAAAAGAAAGAACTAGCAAGTAGTCATTGAAACTAGGCTAAATATAATGTAGCAAACCATCAAATGTTGATGCAACACATTCGTAGAGAGAGAGAATAATTGTTGTACTATTAAGGCCCAGTACTCTAAGCAGCTTAAGTTTATTTCACTGCAAACTAATTTTTTAAATTTTCAGTTGTTCTCATACATAAATCTGTAAATAAATTTGATCAGGCTCACGTAGAAAAAAATTAGAATGCATTCTTTGTTGCCTTGGATGCATGTACAGTCAAATTTTATGATATGCAACTCCAATTTGACTAGACAAATTGTTTATATCTAGTGCACTGCTCCCAGCTGTATAGTCATCTCCACTATATCATTCCATTCATAAGATACTCTTTTGAGTCTTTTAGTCCTTTTTCAAGTGATTGTTATTAAGTCTCTATGGTCCACTGAATTGGCTTCCTGATCACAGCTAATGAACAATGACTGGCTCCTGTTGTTCATGATACAATCACATATGGTCATCTAATTCTAGATAGAGTATTCACTTCTTTAAACCTTGAATGATTCTAAGTCGCCATATGCGATTACCTATTGTGCTTGAATCCCCAGCTGTGATGTCATTAAATTTGTTTAGATATTTGTTGACATGCACACCATGATGCAGGACTTTCAATTATCTGAAGAGTTTAAGGGTTAATTGATGGCAACTTGCCAATAACATAGAACAGTTGGGAAGTATTATTTATGAAACAGGATTACAGAACACCAAGTAAATTAGAAAGAAAATTATATTAATAAATTGAATGTAAAATTTATTTTACATTCAATTGATACATCACGGTAGTGTGATTTCATTGTGTGTGTGTACCAAGTAAATTAAATTAATGATCTGAGTGCCGGACTGTGGACAAACATACAAATGCATTGTGGTTGGTGTTATCATGCGCGCTCAAAATCAATTTACATTGGTCGCTGGTGTCATAATTGAGCTGTCATTGTGTGTATTTTGAATGTTGGGAAATTTTCACTAAGTGTAAATATATATTAGGACATTTGTGAAAATTATTTGTGCATCTTAAGCATTTATAAATTGAAAAGTTTAGTAAATAACATGACTTCTTCATAAAGATGAATTGTTTTATTGTGTGAATGTACATACAACCAGTAATTGTGCTAAACATATGAAAGTTTACCTCTAATACAAGTGTAATTTTCATAATCAACTTGTGTACAACAGAAAGTATTCTGTCCTGAACATTTTCAATGAGCAACAAGGTATTAGGTATGTGTTTACTTCAGGTGTGAGGACTTGTGAAACGGAGTTGGAAACAATGAATGTGCCACGAGAGACTGAAGTGGAAAGTTACTACAAGATTAAGCAGACTATACACAACCTCAAGAACGAGCGCCATGCCTTCATCACTCGACCCATATACATCATGCCATTCCTACAACCGGGGAGACTGGTCTATGTAAGTTTGAAGATGCCCTTCAGTAGTGGTAGTGTACATAATTCCATGTTGACATTTACTTTTAGTATGTCCATGATGTGGTATATCTTTAATCTTGTAAAGGGATAGATATTAAATTTCTTCATTTCTAATGCTAAAACAGTGTAAACCTTTTTTGTTCTGTTCCTAGTTAGGTTTCTCCAATAAGGATACCATATGATTTTGTCATTTACCTTGTATATATTTTGTATTCTAATTCTGGCTGGTTTCTTAGAAAATGCCTCAGCTTCATAACCTGAAACTTAAAATGCTTTAATTTGTGCCAAAGAGCATGAATTTTATTTAAATTGAGCAATGTTAATTCATGACTACAGGTATATGCAATGGTTTTTTCTTTTCTTTTAGCCATAACTGTGTGATCTTTGAACTGACACGGATGTATATTTTCCCTTGTTAAATTTAAACAGATTAAGAATAATGATGATGACTTCGGCTGGGGGGTGGTGCTGAGCTACAAAAAACAGGAGGACAAGAAGAATCCCATGGAGGCTCCGACAATAACTGTTGACGTGATATTGCGTGTATCAGAGGCAACGGCTGCTTCAAAGGTATTTTTATAGGGCACAACTGCATGCCTCTTGTAGTCATTTGTGCAAAGAGTTATCAAGCAATTCACTTCTATGAACGTTGCACACTAGCACATCGTATGTATGTATGTATGTGTTTTTCTTCTCCCTGTGTACTGATGTACATGCAGTATTTCGTGCATTATATCATGTATTATACAAATACTCGGGAATAGAACAACTCTTGATTGCCTCTCCAGGTAAGATCCGGGTAAAACCACATTTTGTTTCTCAAATAACCATAAAGCTTTATGTAGACTAATATTATTAATATGCTTTTTCGTTTGCATAAGAAATGTTTGTTAGGCTTTGTTTCACGAGTTACTACATGAGATGCTGCTGCTCATTGACAAGCAGAATAAAGTACTGCACTCAAATACAAAAAATCTACATTAATGTATACTAATGTGAATATAAAGGATCTTTCTCAATACTACAGCTCCACAGTTTTGCTCGTATTTAAGACGTGCTTAAATTGATGTTCACATTACTGTAGAAAATACACAAAAACTCTGAAACTATTTTTCAAGTGCTGGTAGTATGTCTTTTGGATTGTTTGTGGTTTTTACTTGACACTATTGTTTGCTTTGTTCAGTATTTATACTTGAACTTCACTTTTCATATATTTTTCTGGCATTTATACCCATATTGTTGTGAATATTGGATATATGCCACACAGTGATAGATACCAAGTACACTATTATGAAATAATAATGTCTTAACATGACCAAAATAATTATATGGTAAATTATACATTGTTTGGATGTACAAATACTCAATATGTTGAGTTATTGTATGAATTGAATGACTTTGTGAATGGCTGTGAAAGATGTAGTCATAAAAGGATAGATTAATTTCACCTGGGAAAAAATACTTTGAATAGCTGCATAGCAATTGCATGATTGCTATGCAACCCTCTGCCTATATTGCTATAGACCCTCAACTGATTGATTTTAAAGACGTGCTTTCACATAAATGCCAATTAGTTTTTCCAATCCATTCATCAATAGAATCCTTAACCACATCTGTGGTTTTGTTTAATTATTGCTTGTGTGACTGGTCAGAAGTCACCACTTAAATCATCATACCTCTAGTATGATTGAGAATACAATAAACAAATACAAAGTATTTGTTTATTGTTTTATGAACACAATAATTGAATCGATAATATGCACACCATAATTTTGAGTACAGCGATGGTTCACAAATTTTATTATATAAATACATCACACTACACACTATTGAATAATATTACAGCAAAAAATCGAAGAAAAATCGGAGACATTGAAATAATTAGGTAATTATCTCTTTGTGGCCACTCCTGCCTGACAGCTGGGGCTGAGCAGACCGCCTCGGACGCACACTGAATCAGTGTCCTTTTTTTTTTTTTTTTTTGCCAGACTTTCTTGCCCTATAGTGGGCAAAATATGCCACTTACTATTTTTTTATTATTTTTTCCGTGATCAGGGAACATAAATTAACAGATTTAGAAGATTTGTTTTTTTAATGCGCCTGTGGGTGACAATGGCCAAATAGCCCTTGGCAACACAAGGGTTAACACTCATGTTTATCATCACATCTTCATCTCAAAGCAAACGGGTGATATTTACTTCACTAGGGAATTGTTCCCACTTGGAATGTAATGATTTCTTCAAGTGGAGACATGCAGTTAGTGTTAGGCCTGGGGCTTTTGTGAGAAGAGCATTTAATGACTGCTAAAGTTGACCCTTTGTACCTGTGGTTAGTTAGTTAATTTGTTGAATTAACATTGAGATGTCTAATGATAAAGCCAAATATAAGGCACAGTACTGTATATTCATTCCGACATCTTTAAGTCTGAATCAATTTTGTTTAATCTTTCGAGATTGGTTAAGTATTTAACCAAAACTAAACATTAATTCTGTAATTATGTTGATGTAATTAAGTCATTAAGTAATCTTTTTAATGGTGTACTTTTGATCTTGCAATCTGTTTGAGATGAAAATTTAATCTAATATTAGAATAGATAAATGCTATAATTGCATTAAAAAAATTCCATGTCACCTAAGCCTTTTGTCATTTTCAATGTTTGCAGGTGACTTCAGATTTAAAACCTCCTAAGCCAGGTGAGAAGAGTGAGCCAGTGGTGATGTCAGTGATGTTGAAGCTGATTCAGGAAGTGTCTGCAGTTAGGCTGAAGCTGCCGAGTGACCTCAAGCCCCTTGACCAGCGTGTTATGGTCATGAAGATGGTGCAGGTGCGTGTACAGATTTTGTGGAGTATTCTGGTGTGGAGGGAAAATCTGGATATATGGCTATAGAAATAAACAATGCAAGACGTATTCATAATGATGGGATAGATTAAGTTATGATAGTTACTTAGAAATGTAGCGTTTGAAAGTCTGTGACTTGTAAGAATGAGGAGTAAGCATGTGGCTGGTATTGGACTTGAAAGAGATAAAAAAAAAAACACGTGTTTTGAAGCTGCTTGATATGCACACGACTCAAAATGTAACATTGACGGAGTTGAGCTGCAGCTCTTGGGTCCTGCCTGTCAACTGTCAATCAACTGGTGTACAGATTCCTGAACCTATTGGGCTCTATCATATTTACATTTGAAACTGTGTATGGAGTCAGCCTTCACCACATCACTGCCTAAATGCATTCAATTTAACTGACACTGAAAAAATTCTTTCTAATGTGTGTGTGGCTCATTTGGGTGCTCAGTTTCTCAGTATAGTATTCAGTATTATAGCTCAGTGTGGTGTTGCTTGGGTAAATAATATTTAAGTTTCTAAATATATATAATCTTTACTTTATTCAATATTTTTTTATACTGATGCCTTTCCTTCCCATAAGTGTAAAATAAAGTGAGAATTAAGTTTATACAGTACTGTGTGTATGAGAAAAAGGTCTTTATTAAACAGATATGGATTTTAGGCTAGTCTCATTTTTTCCACACAGAAGTAACTTATTTAAAATTGTTATTTTCAGTGGTTTATTAAATTACAAAAATTTCCATTTAATCAGTCAACAAGTTGCTGTAAAACCAAAGGTGAAATTAAGATATAAATTTCATGGACTAACATTTAGAAATAAAACATTTTTTCTCTGAAGGATGGTGGATTTTTATTTTATTATTTAGGCTTTTTATTAATATTTTGTTTATTTTGAAAATTTTGTTTTCCTCGTAAAAGAATGCTGTGTATAAAACTGCCCCTCTTTTGTTACCAGGAAGCCTTGAAGAGGGTTCCAGAGAACCAATTTCTACTCGACCCAGTGAAGAACATGAAGATAAAAGATGAAACACTCTTGGAGATTGTGAACAAGCTTGAGAAGTTTAGCGTTCGTCTTGAGTCACACAGGTTACACAAAGAGCCCGACCGAGATGAGTTGTACGAAAAGTTCTCAAAGAAAATGGAGGTAGGCTAAGTGTAGGTTTGGTATATTTAGCACTAACCATATAGTATGACTCGTTTTGTTGGACGAGATTGAATCTCCTGACGGCATCACTCGCTCGGTGCATGTAGTTGGCTCTCACTCTGTATGAGGGATGCTCCCCTCGTACGTCTCTTTCAATACTTTCATCATGGATTGGCTCTGTTCTTGATCAGTATCCATCTGGCAGTGTTTATAAAGCCGGTAGCAACAAATACCCGCGATAAAATAACCGGAATGGGGAAACTTTTAGACTCGAGGAAAGGCCGTGGCTGTCATGAGGGAGGTTACAAGAACAGTGAGCCTCCAGCGTGGGTGGGCGCCCACAAAGCGGGGTCAGGATGCCATGTGGGGTATACAGAGAATGGGAAGACATTGGCACACATTTTAAAACAAGTCCCATAATATTCAGACACTAAATTAATTTTTACAAATTTTTAAATTAATGACTTCATCATGCACTCAGCATATTTTGGTTTTGTGATGAACTATGCATGACCGGGCATCAAAAGTGTTAATACACAATAAAAAAAATATACCATGGCATTATTAATTTTTGTGAATGCCAATTCAACAGTAGTTTTGAGAAGAGGTTGAGATGTTCCATAATCAATGTACACCAAAGAATGTAGGTTTTCTAAGTAGGCTGTTGTTGGATTATTGGATTATAATTGTAAGATGGGGGGAGGGGAGGAGAAAATTGTGAGGCGAGTTGAGCATAACTGACTGGCTGGGGTAAGACATATTGCAGGCAATGTATCATCAATGGTCAGTGAACATCATTTAGATATCGTCTTGGAAATTTATTTACCCTATAATATTCTTTTGAGTGTATCTTGCTTTTCACAATTGGGAACAATTATATACCGGGGAGACTATTTCCTTCAAGTAACTATGCCACTTGTAATGTACAGTACATGACTTGATAATGGTCCAGGATGGACAGAAACAAACATCGTCGGTTTTTCATTCTCATGGTTGGGTTTCAGCTCTTCAGCCGCAGTACATTAATTTAAATTTCATGTCAAATTAGGGGGCCATTTGGTGGCTGGTATTTGAATTATTGTTTTTCAGTGACTGAGGCTTTGGCCACATGTAATATTTCTTGATAAATAAAATTATGCATAGCAGGTATATTTTCTGCTATGCATCAGTACAGTATCACATTTATTGTTAGTGTATGCAAAGCATTGTGCAAAGGAGGAAGGGCCAATGTAGGTCAAATTTTACTGCTGGATTATTGAGATTTGTATAATTATGCATTCATCTTGAATGGATACCTTTCCATCCTTTGATAATTTTAAGTAACCAATTGATATTTAATTGTAATCTAGTTTTATCCCCACTGTGTTCCAGATTATGCACTGCCCCATCAATTGAGCACTGTAGTGGTCACTGACTTTCCACAGCATTAGTACACCCGATCTCAGTTTCAGACATTATTGATTCCACATTAATTTCTTGTAAAAGTTGGCTGCAAATGTTTTATCAGAAATGTTTGTTGTTTGATATTTAAAAAATAACTTGGGTGAATAAAATGGGCCTGTTTTTTTTTTGCAGATGAAAAAGGAATTAAACAATGCTGAGGTAGACCTAAAGAGAGCAAAGAGTCTCTTGCAAATGGATGAACTGAAGTGCAGAAAACGTGTTCTACGTCGCTTGGGTTATGCCACCTCCCAGGATGTGATCGAGCGTAAGGGCAGAGTAGCTTGTGAACTGTCAGCCGCAGATGAACTCCTCATAACAGAGATGCTCTTCAATGGCCTCTTCAACAATATAACGGGTAAGACATTATATAATATTTACATTACATTGTACAATAATGGAATTACTGCGCAGCATTAGAGTAAAAAAGTATTAAATATACAAAATATTATGAAAATATTTTAAATGTATAATGCTTACACCTTAATGCAAATTTTTGAGGCAATGTGTAATCCAAAATGATGCATTATGCAGCACTGACCTACCCACTTTTACACTTTAGATGTGCTAAGTGTGAATGCCTGGAGCGTAATTATTATGAATTAAAGTTTTGTCTCAATACCTTACACTAGAGCTGTCATTTGCAGACAATTTACATGTATGTAGTATACGACAGTAAACAGCTATCTAAAATGGCTAAAAACAATGCTCAACAGCAGCTCGGCACTCATTGTGTACCTTTGATTTTCAATAGAATAATATTGCAATACATGCAGTCCTTATTCTTTATAACACAAAACAGAGCAATGCTTTAAACAAGTTACACAGAAAATATAAAGAAAGTAATGTACAAATATAAAATAAACTACAACCATAAAGTTAACGGCTCTACATGCCTGTACACACCGACTCGCCTCATGTAAAATGGGCACAAGCCAGGAGCACGCTTATTTTTCATTAAACTGTTTGTTTTTGCAAAGCAAAAATGAGACTAATTTACAATATGCATTTTTGCATACAGTAGACCTGTACATGATGTATGTACCAGTATTCAACGTAAGGGGTTTTCGTTTGGTGACAAAAGCGATTAACTTTGTTTGCTTTTTTTATGTAATGTAATTTATGGCACATGTATGTGCTTACCCATAAAGAAACAGTTAAAGAACAGGGAGGAGACGAAGATGCAATAAAAGGGATAAGAAGGGTTGAGGAGAAAAAAGTGTTCTATGTCACTTGGGTTAAATTAATGGAAGACAGAGATAAAAAGACTTGAAGAAGCTGTTGTAAGCAGAAAGTTTAAGCAATTAACAAAAGAGTAGTGTTAATTTGTGATAATGTGGAATACACTGCAGTAGTGATGGAAAGAAAAGTAAACTATTTTATGTGTTACCAGAAGTGCATAAATGTTGGTGGGGGAAGAAGCGAGGAGGAGACTGGGAGAAGGTAACAAATATCAAGTAGATAGTAATGGCTAGCGAAACAACACAATAGGTCAAGGCCCATTGTAAGATAAGGAGATACCAAGTGGGACATAAGTGTCCACTTAAGGTAATATACTGGCAGAGGAACATACCTGAATATGGACATGCATTGGTTTAAAATACCCTAAACCTGAGGTACACAGAAAAACAAGGTAAGTAGGCTAAGCATGCTGAGATGTCAAAGGTAGGTAGATAAAAGACAAGAACAGGCCTGAAACGGCATCATTGAGTCCTGTTCGTAATAAAACAAGACCACATCCAGCAACCTAGTACTAGCTACTGAAATATCATGGAGAATGCCCAAAGACTTGCCAGGAAAGAGGTACAAGAGATAAGAGAAATAAGATATGAGCATAGGCTAATTGAATTATACCTACATTGACATTAAAATACTAGATGATGTATGATTACAGTGTGCTAGATATTGATGGGAATGCAAAGTCAATAGTCTCCTTTCAGGTGAGGGAAAACACAACAATTCAGAGCACATGACTAAACTATAGCCCAAATATGACAGGGGAAAGTTAATGAAATATTGGCAAATGTGGTATTCTTCAGGAAAGAAGCTTGTCATTCTGTGCAGAGATTTTATTTTAATCAGTATTGAAATGGCATTAAACGTTGAACAAATATTACAGGGGAATTGGTTCTGAACATTGCTTATAAACTTCAAAACATGTGGGGCAATAAACAGTGTTACAAATTAGAAAAAAAGCATTCATGCATGGAGTGCCCTCCTGGAACTCTCGCCAGGTTTATCTCGGGAATGTGTTCCATTGGTTTTCCATTGATTCATTGAAGGCTTGAGGTTGTTAATATATTAATACTTTCCATATGTATGTCTGATAATCTTTTAATATAATGTTGCTCATTTAACAGCTGCTCAGACATGTGCCTTACTCAGCACATTTGTCTGTGATGAAAAGAGTTCTGAAATGCCCAAACTTGGAGAAGAGTTGTCGGGACCATTAAGACAGATGCAGGACATGGCTCGTAGAATTGCCCGTGTCAGTCATGAATGCAAATTGGAGGTTAGTAAAAACGATAACTACATGCAGTTGTTGTTTTTAGATTCAGCTACTCGGAACAAAATTTCCATGCAGCACGGGCTATAGTGAGCCCGTAATTGAGTTTGGTTATTCACAATAACCTTGATACTGTGACATCTGGGTCAAAGTTTCAAATGAAGGTAGAATTTTCTTCTTTTCACACTGATTTAATCTATTATTTTAATAATGTTATCTTGGTGGTGGATATACTTTAGATATACTACAAACATGCCTATAAATACATGAAGTATATTGTTCAATACAGGTACATGCTTTTTATGCATATTATAGTATTTTGCCCTTTCACTTTAGCATCTCTTTTACTAGTACAGTCACCTAATCCATATACATTACAGTAATGAATCACCTGTATCTTAAAATGATGAATTAGGGTTTTTCTGGTTGCTGTAATCTTTAGAGCTATCTTTCTTCACTTAACCCATAACCCTCACGCATGCACCCTGAAGCACCCTAGGCCATGGGAAACTAATGGAGATAATGCATTAACTTTGTTTTGTGTATCTTACTCTTCACAAGAATGCAAGTTACCACTGGCTACAGTGGAGGAGATAAGTCTTGACCCCCTAGCACAGTTGCGGGTACTAATCGCTATTCTCAATTCCAGTAGTTGGATTAGGGTTCAAGTGAATAGTCATCTTCTCACTTGACAGTCCCCAGCAGTGAGCTCCAGTTTAGCAACAATCTCTTCAGTTACCTATTATGATCATTTTCTTTGTCAGTACTGTACTGGCATTGAGGTAGAATACACAAAGAAATTGTAGAACCTCCCTCCATCCACAGCAAATGCAGGTGATTGTATGTTAAGAAAATTAAAGGAACCCTAGCTACAAATAATTAAGAGACAGGACTTGAAGAGCTATCTCACCTCCCCCCTCGTAGACACTTGTAGTTAGCACTCCCCTTGTTCACATAAATCATCGCCTCATTTATATACAGTATTCTCATTGTATCTACTTGCCTCTTTCATACATATCTACACCTCATTTATATATATAATTCTTCTTGTTTATCTAACAGTATTTTAACTTTCAGATTGATGAAGAAAACTATGTTGAGCAGTTTAGACCTTTCCTGATGGATGTTGTATATGACTGGTGCAATGGTTCTTCGTTTATGGAACTTTGCACCAAAACAGAGATCTATGAAGGTAAAGTCAGAGTTACACAACTTTGACATCATGTGTGTGTATTTGTTGTCTTTAATACTTTCTCTCCTTTGGAAAGTCTCCATCTTTAAGGGGGCTGGAGGGCATGACGTGTTTTACCAGGCGTGTTTTGAACTTTCATATTGTCATATTGACGTGTTTTGAACTCTCATATTCAAGTGTTAAATGCTTTTTTTCAAAGAAATTTTCGTGTTTGGCTCATAAAATGAAATTTTAAATAGAAGCAATTCCATGCCCTCTGCTCCTAGTTCATTCTATCTGCTTACAATCAGCTTTGCATTTAAGAAAGGCCATTGCAACTTGGATGTTGCAAAGTAAATACATACCTGTATGTGTGTGTGTGTGAGAGTGTAAGTGTAAGTACCCAAGTATAGTTATAGGATGAGAGCAATGATTATGTTGTCCAGTCTTCCCAGTACTTAGTCACGTGACACCTTAAAACTACTGGTGGTTTTAGAAGCCACTGCTTTCTCCCTTAACTTGTTCTATCTATCTACCACTTGGCAAAATAAAATTTTGTAATATTTTTTTGTCACCTTTGTCTTTAGCTTGGTTTATCTATGACCTCTTGTTCTTGAAGTTATAGGTTTCAAGAATTCCTGTCAGTTTTATAAATTCCTTTTGCTATTTTGTATGTAGTGATCATCTCTCTTTTTTTTTTTCTCTCGCCTATCTTTCAACTTTGGCATATTTAATGCCTGTAGCCCCTCTTCATAGCTCTTGTTTTTCAGTTCCAGAAGTCATTTAGTAGCATGCCTTTGTACCTTTTCCAGTTTATTGATGTGCTTTCTGAGATACGGACACCATACACCTGCTGCATATTCCAATTTTGATCTCACAAATGTCATGAAGAATTTCTTTAGTATTTCACCGACCATGTATTTAAAAGTGATTCTAAAGTTGGAAAGCATAGTATATGCTCCTCACACAATGACCTTTGTATTCATCTGGTGAGTCTACTACCCAGACTCATCCCTAGAACTTTTTCTACGAGTTTTTTAATTCCTCTCCAAATAATTTGTAGGTTGTGTGGAACCTGTTTTCCCCTATTCAACTTTCCATAATGTGGCATTTGTTCACATTGAATTCCCTTTGCCATATGGTGCTCAATACTTTTGTTTGGGTCGTCTTGACAAGTACGACAATTGTCCAAGTCTTCCCTGGTAGTTTATCAGCCGCAGCAAACATGTTCATATTTTACGCTTTTATTTCACTCTTTTTTAATACTGGAAGTCATTTAGTTGCATGTGTGCACCTTTTCCAATTTGTTGACGTGCCACTTGAGATATGGGCACCGTACATCTGCATATTCCAATTTTGGTCTCACAAAAGGTCGTACACAATTTCTTTAACACTAATACCTGGTTGATACCTGGTTGATGGGGTTCTGGGAGTTCTTCTACTCCCCAAGCCTGGCCCGAGGCCAGGCTTGACTTGTGAGAGTTTGGTCCACTAGGCTGTTGCTTGGAGCGGCCCGCAGGCCCACATACCCACCACAGCCCGGTTGGTCCGGCACTCCTTGGAGGAATAAATCTAGTTTCCTCTTGAAAATGTCCACGGTTGTTCCGGCAATATTTCTTATGCTTGCTGGGAGGACGTTGAACAACCGCGGACCTTTGATGTTTATACAGTGTTCTCTGATTGTGCCTATAGCACCTCTGCACTTCACTGGTTCTATTCTATTCTGTGTTAGCTAATGTGTTAGCCTGGCTTTGTGGCTAAGTTTTCTGATAGTTGCCAGTGCCTGTGTATGGTCTTGTAAAGGTACTATATGATTTTATTTTACATACATAGTGCTATGCCATATTTGTGCCTCCGTGTGTCCTGCCCGACTGCCATGATCATGCATAAAATGGAGTTTGTGTGGAAACACAAAAATTGGGTTAAAATGGAGCTTTTCACATGCTCAGAAGTATTGTTATTATTTAAAAAGGTAAAAATTGTTCCCCTTTTATTTTTTCTACCAGGAAGCATTATTCGAGCTATGCGTCGTCTGGAGGAGCTCCTACGCCAGATGATCCAGGCTGCCAAAGCCATTGGCATTGACTTGGAAAATAAGTTCTCTGAAGGAGTCAAGCTATTAAAGAGAGATATTGTATTTGCAGCAAGTCTCTACTTGTAGGAAAATGACAAGAAAGGTATTTTGTAATGTGTGTAAATGAAGACTGAAAGAGGGAGTGTTAGTGTTCATTTTTTGTCTGCATTATGAGTCTTTTAATGGCACTGTAATTTTACAAACATGACTTATTTTATCCAAGATTTTTTTATTTAACTTCCTTTTTAAGGTTGATGGAAAAAATTAACAAAGCAATACTAAAATGGGAAATTACACTGATCAATGAGGGAATACATGTACAATATTGTGCTTTGATATAAGACTGTATTTGCAGCAAGTCTCTACTTATAGAAAAATGACAAGGTATTTTGTAATGTGTAATTTATAATCTAAACCCTTGATTCTTTTTAATGGTGAGGAAATTTTCTAGGTTTTGTATGTTTTCCATAAGTTTTCTATTCATAGTCATAGTTTCTACATAGTCATTAATGAGACGGTAAATAATGGCACAAGATAAAAAGGTTTTGATATGGATAAAGAATTGTATTACTGAGTTGCACGAGTTGATACAAAGCATTCAGTAGTGTTTGACAGTGGATTAATTTTCCTGCCATCTAAGAATACTGTAGTTAAGGAAATGATTGATGTAACAATTCGGTTGGGCAAAGTGAACAATATAACACGGGTCCTGGGGGCCAAATGTTGTGCCCTTACTGTATAATGCAGTGCTCATAAATTTATGGTGTACATAGATTTTAGCTCCTTGATTAATATTGTACAGAGATATGAACAATTTTATTTTAAAGTATTGGCACGACACTTTTCTATTAATCTTCATTGAGAGTGTCTATGAACCTCTCTGGTTGAAAGGGTGAATTCTTTAGTTACTTGCAGTTTCATCATTTAGTGCTATAAAGCATAACGGTAATGTACTAAATAATATACTATAGTCAGAATTTGTAATACAATACACTAATGTAAGTACATATCCCCATTAGTCATGTTGTCAAAGTGTACGAGAGACTGCCATTAAACACTATTTGATCAGTTCGTGTTAGTTTGTTAATTATGTTTTAACAATTTCTTATTCAATCAGCAAATTGGCCTGGCAGAGTGTATTTTCTTAACCTTAATTTACACGCAAAAGAAATTCTGATTTCTACATCCAGTAAGCACCGAGGCGAAACTATGATTTGGCAGTACAGTACTGTACTTTATTGGAGTCTGTGGTCAATTTCAAATACAATTATTGTTTTAAAAGTTGATGTGCTTGTGTATTGTCAAAATGTCTACACATATTACTGGGTAATATGGCCCTTGACTATTATAGAAATTTGTTCTACATCAGATTTAAATTCCATTAAGCAGTGTTGGTTTCATTTGTATATACAACTAGGTGCTTCGATTTTGAGTTAAAATAAATTTAATGTAGTGTTACATTTCAAATAATTATCTTCAAATTTGGTGTCCTCTGTAAAAATACCGTACAATTCACTTTTGTTTCCCAAAATTTGTTTGCCATATATATATACTGGCTTAAGAACAGTACAACATTTAGATGTGAACATGGGGTCTGAGAGACTCCATGATGCCTTCAAAATTGTTTCCTGTTGACTCCACATTATCTGTTAAATTGTAGAATTGTAGTATAAATTGTAACCTTGTAGAATGTCTTGAAGAAAATAAGACAGAATCCACCTCGGGCAAGACGGGGCTTACAAAACATTATCAGTGTTATTTATCAGTGCCAAAAGGTTGCCCACCAGAGAAAGTGGTAGCTCTTTCACTAGATACTCAACACAGGCAAAGTTCAGGCTGCCCAAAAGGTGCTTGATATTTCATAGAAAAAGCAAGGACTTTTTCTTTGGTGCCTGTCTCTGGCACCAGCCAGACCGAGGCACGGCTGCAACAGGATCAACCGAGTGAAGAAAAGGAAGGTCTTTCTATTATCCCAGACAAGTCTGAACCTGAAACTGCACCAACAAGGATTTCTGCTTATTTACCAAAATGCAAAAGCGTGGCAACTGAAACTCAGATCCCTGGCCAGCAGACAAAGCAGAAAATAGGGGAAGGACAAAATCAGGCAGTCAATGAGGAAGGTCAGAATGTAATTTCTCTGAAAATGTCGTCGAAAGACTACATGTATGTTTGAAGATTGGTTCCAGATGGCAGAGCCCAAAGGCGACTCATTCTGAACCAGTCGCTTCCTGGACTCCAGGTGGATGGGTATGTATCAATAAACATCTTGAAGATAGTGTTTCTACATGCACCCTAGATCCGGACACTCGATCCTTCCACACACCCAGGTGGGCTTGTGACCCATATGGATTCCTCCTATTGCAGGAGCTCTTAGTTGCATACTGCTACGGTATGTTTCTTGAAGGAAACAAAAGCCTGAAAACTGCATGCAGCAGCAGCTAAAAATATCAGCATAGCACCGGTAAGCTGAGCCTCATATTTTGTACTATCGTTTGATAATTACGTGTTAGTACTGTCTACTCTTTGTAATCCAAATCATGTGGAGCCCACCCGTATTTGAGTTAGCTGAATTTCTTACCATAAGTCTCCAAAAACGAACAAATTTTATATTTGTTGTACTACAACATGGTTGCCCACACATTTTCATGGTTTATCTGCCTACTCCTGCAGTTTACTTACTTGAAAACTATGACTGAAGTAATTTGAATTACCAAACTCTTCCATTTTAGAATTCCTGGTTATAATTCATGGCCCAAGATAGCAACAGGGGTACAGCTTGGAAAGCAGGGTAAGGAGTAGATGGAAAAATTACCTTTTAGTGAGACCGTTATTCAAGTTATCTCACTTCTTTCTCTGTTTTCACACTAAATTACTAATAAAAGTAGTCAGGAAAGCTGTTTACATGTGGCCCAGTGGTCACAATATTCAAGTGCAACACCAATTCAATTTTGATTCCTCGTCAATCCAACCCCAGAGGGGACTACAACACCCCCACCTGATACCCCAAGCCCTCCCTTTCCCTTGCACGAGGCCCACCCAAATCCTCCCTCACCCCGAGCACCCCTTGCCTCCCCATCCCCTGGTCACCTTCCTGTCCAAAGCAGGCCCGGGCAAGATCTTGGCCCTCCATTCCCCCACCCTGCCTCCCCCTAAATCCCTGGTAACTACTATACAAGAGCCTAGGCACTGTGGATGAGCCTACCAAAGTAGGCTCATCCACAGTGCCTATGGAAAGGCTTCCTACACTAGTGGGGGGTGTGTGTGTGTGAGATAATGGATATAGGAAAGTTTGCTTCAAGGTAATGTACCCAAACATCGATGGGATTATTAATAAAGCAAGTGAACTGGCCAAAAGGGTGCAGGAAGAAACCCAGATGTAATAAGACTCAAACAAAATTGTCAGGCATTGTAACAAATACAGTTTCCTCAGGACTACTATATAGTAAGGAAAAAAAGGGAAGGGAGTGGAGGAGTTGCCCTGCAGATAAGAAAGGACTGGAGTTTTAAAAAGAGATGGAAATTCTGAGCTGTGAAGGACTCGGAGATTACATAACAAGAACTATGACTATGGGACCTAAGATGATGATAGCAGTTATTTTACAATCCTCCACTAAACGACGGAAGACTCGGACAGGAGTTCGATAGGAACAACATGGCAACCATTAATATAAGAGAAAGCGGCTTCAGTTGCCTGCATGAATGGATCCAGACTCTTAGTTGGGCTACTTTCGCTACTTTGTAGCCCAATTTTGGGCTACTTTCGCTACTGTGTAGCCCAAATTTGGGCTACTTTGTAGCCCAAAATTGGGCTACTTTTGCTACTTTGTAGCCCAAAATTAGGCTACTTTCTAGCCTAAATTTGGGCTACTTTCGCTACTTTGTAGCCCAAAATTGGGCTACTTTCGCTACAATATTGGGGCAAAAATCGGGCGATTTTTGGCCGCTAGCGCCGAAAATCGGCAGATTTTTGCCCGCTAGCGCCGAAAATCGCGCGAAATTTCCCTGTTAGCGGAGAAAATCGCCCGATTTCTGGCCGCTACCGGCGAAAATCGCGCGATTTTTGGCCGCTAGCGGCGAAAAACCCTGATTTTTGCCCGCTAGCGCCGAAAAACCCTGATTTTTGCCCGCTAGCGGCGAAAATCGCGCGAATTTTCCCTGCTTGCGGCGAAAATCGTCCGATTTTTGGCCGCTAACGGCGAAAATCGCGCGGTTTTTGGCCGCTAGCAGCGAAAATCGCGCGGTTTTCGCTGCTAGCGGCCAAAAACCGTGCGATTTTCGCCGCTACCGGCCAAAAAACGCGTGATTTTCGCCGGTAGCGGGAAAAAATCGATCGAATTTCGCCGCTGCAGGGCAAAAATCAGGCGATTTTTGGCCGCTAGTGATGAAAATCGCGCAGTTTTTGGCCGGTAGCGGCGAAAATCGCGCGGTTTTTGCCCGCCAGCTGCGAAAATCGCATGGTTTTTGGCCGCTAGTGGCGAAAATCGCGCGATTTTTAGCCGCTAGCGGCGAAATTTTCACGATTTTCGCCGCTAGCGGCCAAAAATTGCGCGATTTTCGCCGCTAGCGGCAAAAATCAACAAAAATCGCCAGATTTTTGCAACAGTAGTGGCGAAAATCGCGCAATTTTTGGCCGCTACCTGCGAAAATCCCGCGATATTTGGCAGCTAGCGGCGAAATTCGCACGAATTTTGGCCGCTAGCGGCAAAATTCGCACGATTTTTGGCCGCTAGCGGCGAAATTCGCACGATTTTTGGCCGCTAGCAGCGAAATTCGCACGATTATTGCTCGCTACCAGCGAAAATCGCCCGATTTTGGGCCGCTAGCGGCAAAAATAGTCCCTTTTTTGGCCGCTAGCGGCAAAAATAGTCCCTTTTTTGGCCGCTAGCGGCGAAAATCGGTCGATTTTTGCCGCTAGCGGCCAAAAACCGCGATTTTCGCTGCTAGCGGCCAAAAACCGCGCGATTTTCGCTGCCAGCGGCCAAAAACCGCGCGATTTTCGCCGGTAGCGGGCAAAAATCGGGCGATCTTCGCCGCTAGCGGGAAAAATCGCCCGATTTATGGCCGCTACTGGCGAAAATTGCGCGGTTTTTTGCCGCTAGCGGAGAAAATCGCGCGATTTTTAGCCGGTAGCGGCGAAAATCGCCCGATTTTTGCTCGCCACCTGCGAAAATCGCACGGTTTTTGGCCGCTAGCGGCGAAAATTGCACGGCTTTTGGTCGCTAGCGGCGAAAATCGCACGGTTTTTGGCCGCTAGCGGCAAAAATCGCGCGATTTTTGGCCGGTAGCGGCGAAAATCGCGTGATTTTTGCCCGCCAGCTGCGAAAATCGCGCGGTTTTTGGCCAGTAGTGGCGAAAATCCCGCGATTTTTGCCCGCCAGCTGCGAAAATCGCACGGTTTTTCGCCGGTAGCGGCCAAAAACAGTTTCAGTTGCCTGCATGAATGGATCCAGACTCTTAGTTGGGCTACTTTCGCTACTTTGTAGCCCAATTTTGGGCTACTTTCGCTACTTTGTAGCCCAATTTTGGGCTACTTTCGCTACTTTGTAGCCCAAATTTGGGCTACTTTCGCTACTTTGTAGCCCAATTTCGGGCTACTTTCGCAACTTTGTAGCCCAATTTCGGGCTACTTTCGCAACTTTGTAGCCCAATTTTGGGCTACTTTGTAGCCCAAATTTGGGCTACTTTCGCTACTTCGTAGCCCAATTTTGGGTTACTTTTGCTTTGTAGCCCAAATTTGGGCTACTTTCGCTACTTTGTAGCTGAATTTTGGGCTACTTTCGCTACTTTGTAGCCCCATTTTGGGCTACTTTCGCTACTTTGTAGCCCAATTTTGGGCTACTTTCGCTACTTTGTAGCCTAAATTTGGGCTACTTTCGCTACAATATTGGGGCAAAAATCGGGCGATTTTTGGCCGCTAGCGCCGAAAATCGGGCGATTTTTGCCCGCTAGCGCCGAAAATCGGCAGATTTTTGCCCGCTAGCGCCGAAAATCGCGCGAGTTTTCCCTGCTAGCGGAGAAAATCGCCCGATTCTTGCCGCTACCGGCGAAAATCGCGCGATTTTTGGCCGCTAGCGGCGAAAATCGCCTGATTTTTGCCCGCTAGCGGCGAAAATCGCGCGAATTTTCCCTGCT